TAAGCACTCCAAATACAGTCATCCAATATCCCTCATAGAGCCCTGGTGGCGCAGTGGTTAAGAACTCAGCTGCTAACCAAAAGGTCAGTGGTTCGAATCCCCCAGCCACTCCTTGGAAACTCTATAGGGCAGTTCTACTCTGTCCCATAGGGTCAATGTGAGTTGAAATTGACTCGACGGCAACGAGTTTTTTGTTTTTTTAAATCTCTCTCACAACCATAGAGCTCAAAATTTCCAAAGCTCCTTAATTAAGGCTTAGGCTTGGAAATATGGTCTAATGAATCTATAGACTCAATATCTGCTACCCTAATTTCTACATGTTGACATAGGCTTGGTAACAGATACCTATATATTTAAGTATACATAGATATTCGTTATAATTTTACTATTACGTAATTACTTTTTTACAAAGTTCAATTCATTTCTGAAACGAAGTCTAAAAACTAACAATGACAGTTACAGTTCAGCTTTGGTACATTTCAAAACAAAACTAAAGCTTTCATGACACCTAAAAATATTACAAGGAGAAAAATAACTATTTTATGCCTAAAGAATTTTCAAGTACACCTTTGTCATTTAAGTTTATAGTATCTAATGCCAGTTTTAGTTTTATGGGCAATTGCCTGAAGGCCTTTGGCAAAGCTTCTTTCCACACAATTTACATAAATAAGGTGTTCATTTCTGAATCATGGAATATTTAAAAAATACTAAAAATCACCATATTCTCTCTTCTTAAAGACTGCTACTTAAATACTCACTACAGTATAGCTTTTAATTTGGAAATTTTCTATTTTCTTGCCCTATGTAAAAAAAATTGTCCTTGAAAGTTTAACACAGCTGTCTGTATTTATATATATATATATATACATATATATATATACACACACACACATATATATCCCACCAAGACGAAATATTCTTTTAATGCAATGCTTTGAATTTTGAAAATATTTTGATGGGGAACAAATTCTAATATGTTGTAAAGGCAGACACCTTTGGGAACACAAACTTAGTAAAGATAAATTTTTTAATATCTATATTCTTACACATATAATTTGGCTTTAAGTCAATATCTCTTGATTTAAATTATATCACATGCATGGCAAAATCTGAAACACTTTATTGTATTGAAAAGAACCTTTTAGGTAGCCTGCAAACCTTGAGATACAGATAAAAATAACTGAGGGGGAAACTAAGAAGATTTCAGATTAATTTTCATGCCATAAAATATTTTCTCTGTTAATTAGTGAAAAAGGCAAATATTGCAAACTAGCAGATGCACTGAATAGACATCTCAAGAATTCTAAAGCTGGGAGAAACAACAATCACAGGAATAAAATGTTTTTCAAGAAGAGTAATGCAGTTGAGAATTTCATAGAGCCAACTACATAGCTATTGTCCTTCAGGGACTTTATTGTTTAAAGAAATTCAAATTTTCTGTAGCCTTGGCTGGTGTCCTACAGAGTACAGACAAAATTCTTAAACTAACAGTTTGTTCCAATATAAATAAAATCAAATACCAATTTGAACTTAATGTTCAAACATCCAAGAATTTTGTTTATGAAACAACCTCCAAAACTGGAGAGTAAAGTTTTTAAAGTGCTACCTTAAAAAATTATTTACAAATAGCATGGAGGTATTATTAGGCAACATCAGAGAAACAAAATACCCTTAAGAGAATATGCCTTGTGGAAAAACAGTGAAGCTAAAGAGTATCTATGTTATCTCAAGATGCTTGAATCCATGCAAGAGCTGGTCACCACAATCCAATGCACTTAGCAATACTTTCCAACTGCTAAAGTTAAGGGGTGGGGGCAGGAAACAAACAAAAAATCTCACCCCTAATTGTGAACATTCTGCTAGGCATCACAAAAGGATTTATTCTAATATCTATACCAACTTGTTTAATAGTGTAATGATTAAGAGCATAGACTCCAGGGCCAGATTTCCCAGGTTCAATTCCTGGCTCTGCCACCTATTAGCTGTGTGACCTTGACAAGTCATTTAACCACTCTGTGCCTCAGTTTCCCCTCTCAAATGGAGATGATAATAATAGAACAATTCCATTGGGTTGCTGTGAGTGTTAAATGAGTTTCTCCACGTAAAATCTTAGCACAGTGCCTGGAATTTGGTAAGGGTTATCTAATTGCTGGTGGTAGCCAGTTACAACTAGAGTGCAAAGAGCACATTAAAATTAGATTGAACATAGCAATTAAAATTTAATCTACGCTACATCTAAACACTTTTGGGAATTTTATCTAAATATAATTTTTTCTATCAGCCTTATCGTTGTTAGGTCCGTGGAGTTGATTTTGACTCATAGCGACTTCATGTGACAGAGTAGAACTGCCCCATAGGGTTTTCCAGGCTGTAATCTTCACAGGAGCAGATCACCTGGTCTTTCTCTCTTGAGAAGCAACTGGTGGGTTGGAACCCAACTTTTGGTTAGCAGCCAAGCACTTGACCATTGCACTACCAGGGCTCTTTCTATCAGCCTTACAATTCCAGAAATTCATATTTCCACTTCTCTGAAATAGTCACATAAATATACCAGGCCAGACAAAGAACAAAGCCTTCTTCAACGTGTTGCCTGGAAACTGCTGACTTTAGGGTCTAACGATGAAATCTTCAGCATCGTATTAATCAATTAAATTAATAAACAATTAAATGCATATTTAACAAAACTACCTGCTAAAAACATTATAGGCTAATTTTGTTATGCAGAAAATTGTGAAATACAGGGACCCTCAGTAGTGGTCACTGATGACCACACACTCAAACATTCAGCAGAAAAACATAAAAGGAGGGGACACCAACACTAGATTTTCTTTGAGTTCAGCACATGGACTCTCCTCCTCCCAGCATGCTCCGGGGCCTGCTTCTCCCAGCCCAGCCCCTTCCATCACTACCCCAGGAGCACGCACAGAGAATGCCTATAAAGCCTAGTAAGCCTACCACCATCGGCTTATTTTGTGTTACTCTGAATTAATTATAAGAGTTGTAAAAGCTCTGGAGTGGTTTGAACAATATTACCTTGTCCTGACCACCCTCTTTAGAATATATATCTAATTTTTATTTCACTTCCTATCACCTTCTAATCTCTGCCTTTTTTCTCTCTCCTCCAAAAACTACTTATCATGCCTAAGCAAACAAACATAAACAGAGCTTTCTGACTAGTTGCAAAACCCCAGTGATTAACAGTGCACATTGCATTTGTGATCCAATCCCTACTCTATACAACAGGATGTTCCTGGGAGATTTAGGCCAAGTTGATTTTCCTCTCTTCTGTCCATGTCCTGAGTTTCCTTGGCCAACACTGGACATACAATTTCTTAAGCATAAGTGCATTTTCTCAGCATTTCCCTTGGCTGTATCTAATTCCTTACATGTGGCTAGATTGGTTTTGTATATTATCACTGTTTATTTCCTTAGTACATTTTCTATCTACTGCAAGCATGCTGCCAAATGTTTAAAAGCTTTCTACTTTGAAGCCTAAGTCAATAGAAAAAGATGGGAGATACACAAAAATGAAGAGAAATGCTTCTTTTAAACAAAAGCTGAATGTGGTTTAACTCAAACTGAGTTTTTGAGTTATAGCAAAGCCAGCATGCAAAACCACACTGACAAAAATACATACAGCACTGTAAATAGCAAGTTAATGAATCAACAGAGCAAAGAAGCCTGTGCCGAGGAAAAGCATTCTGCAATGCGGTCTCAACAGCACTAAACTTGAAAGATAATATATTAAAGTAACTAACATTTTCCAAATTCTGCTGGATCTTTTAATTTTTTTAATCCCAATGAACTATTCTTGTATTTCTTTTTATTTTTTCATTTTTATTTAAAGAGCCTTTGAAATGCTATTTTATTCTTTCTCATATGTTGACAGGAAATAAGAACATTACAGTAATGACTAAATGATGTAAAGAATTATCCATTGCTAATAATCAACACCTTTCAAATCTGTAATAAACCAACTTGCAGGCAAGTGTCAGAAATTGGCACAGGACCAGGCAGTATGTTTCATTCTGTTGTACATACGGTCGCTATGAGTCGGAACTGACTCAATGGCACCTAACAACAACAGGAGAGGCTAAATACTTTCAAAACTTTTACTTGAAAAATTATCCTCCCAACTGACAAACGAAGAATATATATTAAGCATGGAAGCAAATCTGTGTCCAGTTCTGAAAATCTACATACGACTGCTTGTTTTATGTTTCTGAAACATTTTTCTGTTGGTGATTTATTTCACTTCCATGTGGCCAGCCATTTGTTTATTCTATTGCATGCCATCTGTTTTTTGGTAGAGAGGTTTCAAGTTCTTCTCATTCCCTACCTCATAGCCCACAGAAAACAATTTATAATAGACATAGATTTAAATCATTTGGATTCATGTGGAGTTGGTAACATGAGCTGCCTTTCATTTATATCTGGCAAATGCCTTAATGGGATTAGCAAATTGTGTTATTACGAGGTACTTATGGAGACACAACACCTTTTTTTACAATGACAAATTATGTTAACAGTTTCATTTGCAGTGTTTAATAGCAGTACAGAAGATGTCACTAACATTACAGGAAATTGCCCGGATAGACGATAAAGCCCTACCACAAACCCTGTCCATATATTTCAATTTTGAGAGTCAATGAATAAGTGTACCAGGGAGGAGGGATTTACAGAGGGGAATAAAGAACAGGTTGCTTCACTTTTAAGAGAATATTATCATTTAACCATAGATCTGTAAACCCTGCCTGGCTCCTACATGATGGTGGCCTTCTCCAAGCCCTCCAACCAAAGTCTAGGTTGTCTAGATACTTACAAGTGAAGGCATTCCCCAGACTTCCCCCAAAAAAAGTTTGTGCCACAAACTTCAGCTCAACAGCAGCAGTTTATTCTCGTTCTAGGGCTCACTTGGATTTGCTCTAAAGAAGACCCAACCATTCAGAGAAATAATTTTTTGTTGAAACTCTACAGATGATGTTTAAAGTATTAATTACCATTTTTACAAGAATCCTCGCTGCTTTTGTGGAGAGGAGGTATCTGATGACAGGACCCAGTGGCTGTCCACAGTTCATGGTTGATATCCGAGGGCTGAGAAACATCTGTCTTGAGGTCTACCTGATTTTCACTAGTCCTTATCAAATCAGAGTTAGATATGTTCTGGGGGTCAATGGCATCCTGATGGGTATCTGATGGATTTGGTTTATTGAAAGTGTTAACTGACATTTGTACTAAAGCTTCATTGATGAAGAATGAATTTTCATGACATAAACTCTCAGAGCGATTAAGGTCCATTACCTGTGTAAGGAAATACAGAAAAAGTACAATAATTTCTCCAGTTACTTTCTCAATTTTCAAGTATTTATCCCTAATAGAATTTAATAATCAAGATTTCAATAAGAGTGAGGTCAATAAGAATATTCTCCTTTACTGCCTACATCCCCTTTTAATTAGCTAGTACTAGAAGAGCAATTGGTTATGCCAGACAGATCTGGAAAAAAACATAATTATGTTCTATGCCATTAAATTGCTTCTGCTTTATTTTAGCCAAAGAAGGCAGCATTTTCACTTTTGCTAAGTAAAAAAGGTGAAATCCTAGCCGTATATACACGAGGAATTTGCAATAAATGTAATTTAGCGAATTTGAAAGGAAAATCAAAAGCAACATAGATCTTATATAATCTTACCAACATTTACAACTTTGTTCGATAAAAAGCATGTGTGCAAATGGCACAGAAAAATGAATTCTGAGAGAAATGGAATTGTCAAGCATGGTTAGAGAGGATGCCAAAGGAATGCAGAATCTTCCAAAATCCTACACAGTGATTAATTAGTATGACTTATGTTAACTACTGCTAGTAAAATGGATTTTGAATTTATTATATCAAATTTACCAAAAGAATAAGCTTGGAATAACAGAATATTATACTTGCTAAATTCAGTACCTAGACTATACATGAATAGATAATTGATCTACTAGAAAGTATACATAGAACTCTTTATAACAGACTATATACAGAGGGTTCTTCAACTGTAGGAAAAACACACGCTCACAGTGAGTGTGCCTCCAGGACAAACCCATCCTTGCCTTACTGGACCAACTCAATCCTAGGTATCTCCCCAGAGGTAGGGATATCTCAGTGCACAACAATCCAATAGGAGCTAAGCTTTTAAAATTTCCATATTTTAACTCAAGATACATATGCATTGTCTCCAAAAGTACCCAACTTCTGCTACCTACAGATTGAGAAACTCCTGTGAACTCTTACACAAGAACCGCAAAGATGAGTGTTTGGCGAAAGTCTTTTGGTAAGATAACTACCATGGCTATACTTATCATTGAGAAGCTGCCTTATTAACTCCTTCCATGTGCACATACCTCCTTGCTTCCTGGAGAAAACGCTGCGGGGAGGCTGCTCTGCCGGCTGTGCTTCCAGTGGCACAGCAGCCGCTGCTGGGTCCGCATCTTTTCCCTCTCCCTCTCCACCATCCGCTGGCCCTCCCTCAGCCGCTCCAGGTTCTGCTGGTACTCCTGAAGCTGATGGGCCAACTCCCCACGGTTCCTCAGCAGCAGCTCCTCCTGCGATTGGCACTCCCGCTCCCTCTCCTGCAGCCAGCTCTCTTTGGCCTCCTGCTCCCGCTGCTGCTGGTCACACCTGCGGTGCCAGCGCCGCTGTTCCTGCTGGAACTGGTGTTGGAGCTTGTGGATGTTGGCCAGCTCCTCACGCTGCTTCTCCAGGTTGCGGTACTTCTCCTGGTCCTGAAACGGGCTGCCTCGGAAAAAGTGGCCAAGAGACAGTCTCTCCTGCTGCTGGAGAACCAGCTTGTGGATCTCAATGTGGCTATCCTGAATGGTCAGGGCGGCCTGTCAGGGCAGGAGAGAGGAACAAAGTCAAGGCTTCCATTTTGATTAAGCTTTGGGCTGGAATGACCTCTAAACACAAAATGCATGACCAAACTATCTTCTCTTAATATTTTTTCCCTTTTTCTAAGTTTCCTCCAAAGACAGACTTCGGACTTTTAATCAGTTTGTCCCATTCCCTACTGGTAACCAGTTAAACAACCAGTTGCTGTCGAGTCGATTCCAACTCATGGCAAGTCCCTGTGTGTCAGAGTAGAACTGTGCTCCATAGACTTTTCAATGGCTGATTTTTTTTTTCAGAAGTAGATCTCCAGGCTCTTCTTCCAAGACATCTCTGGGTGGACTCGAACCACCACGCTTTTGATTAGCAGCTGAGCACTTAACCTTCCTAGTGGTAAGGCCTGGGAATTTAGATAGAAAAGAAATGACAAAGGCAATGCTTATCCTCTTCTTGAGAAATGTGATTTACTGCTGGTTATTGGATATCACTTAAGCAAGTCTTCTGAATAAAAATTCAGTACATAAATTCTCAAGACTCTGCATTCCTGATCTATGTTTCATTCTCTTGCTGAGGTCTCCCCAGTCAATAATTCATGAGAATTTAAGAATTTATATAAACCTACTAGGATCTTTTATTTAAGTTCCAAACCAGAAATTATTTGAACTACACTGCTTTCATGAAGATAGGAAAATAAAAATCAACCATTTGGAGAGTTTTGATAAATAATATTTTTTAAAATATCATGCCCAAGAATAGCAGTAAATAGTATTTTTTAGGAGATATAAAAGTGGCTTAAGGTAGTCCAGTTACCACTGTCTCTTTGTATTAGAGCAGGAAGGTCAAACATAAAAAAATAAGCTGAAATTCATTTGTTTAATAGATTGCTAACAGGAGGCTGGAATGATTAAGGGAAAATAGATACCCTAAAGCCCAGAGGACGTTACCAACCAGACTAAAAAAACATTTTGAGTTACGATATCTGCCTATGAAAAGTTTGACAGCATCACAGGAAATAATTGCCAAGATCTGGAAGGATTCCACAAAACCGAAAAAATATCTCTGTGAATGACCTTGGAAGCTTTTAATTTTAGACATTCCCATTTAAAGTGCAAAAAAAGTACAGAAGGGACAAATTGAAAATGGACACACACTGGGTATGTGTGTGTTTTGACTCCATATGTGAAATTATTGCTCTCCTAGGGATAATTTCACATTTTACCTTCTTAAAAATTTTAAAACTACCATTTAACAAATACTAGGAAGATGGGGACCTGACTATTCTTTGTTAAATGAGCAGCTTCCTATACTTTCAAAAGTTAAATAACTAAGATACATTTTAAATTGGTACTTACAATAACTTATAAAATGTACTCCCTGGGGCTTCTGAAAAAAAACTTATATTTTTTAAGTTGAAAATTAATATTTCAGATTTGAAAATTTGAAATGTTATCCAAATATCTGATTAATGGATTTTTTAAGTTATTATAAAGAGAGCAATGATTATCATTGAAAATAGATACTAATCACTTTTGCTCTTTAAATATGAAATAATTAGCACATAAACCAAAAACTAAACCCACTGCGAGCAAGTTGATTCTCACTCACAGCGACCCTAAAGGACAGAGTAGAACTGCCCCACCAGGCTTCCAAGGCTGTAATCTTTACGGAAGCAGACTGCAACATCTTTCTCCCACAGTGCGGCCCATTGACCTTTTGATTAGCAGCCAAGCACTTTAACCATTGCACCACCAGGGATCCTTAATTAGCACATAGCAATAAACAATTCAGGACTTTGCTGACCTGGCTAGAACAAATAGTAGACGGCACATCACCACTTAAGTCTAATAAATCCTAAGGTGGCAATACAGTAAAACAACCAAACAAAAAATCCAATATTTTATATCAAAACTACCATAGGCTATGATAACTCACACGTAACCGTACAATTAGAATAATCAAGTGCTATCACGTGCTTTATGTCTACTTAGCATTTGGGATAAAACCATTCTTTTCTTTAGCACAGAGATGGAATTTGAAGATTGGATATATATTTTCCCACTTAGAGTCTGCATTTATATTTACGACAGAGACTAGCATTTGCTTTTTAAGTTTAGGGAAATTCTCAGCTCCCTCTCTTTAACTTTTCTTTGCTGGAACAGCTCCATGTCCTTTCCTTTTTGCCTTGCATACACATCATCTCTAACTCTGTTCTCCTCAAATAGGAATCAAATTTCATTTACATCTGATTTTAAAAAATGCTTAAAACTTCAATCAGGCATAAGAGATTCAGCTTCAAAAGAGATGACTATGCCATGAACAGAAATCTTTCAGAGCCCATATAGCTCAAAAGTTTTGGTTAGAATAAGAGAGTCCACTATAGAGTTCCACATTCCTTTTGTTGCTCCAACCAAATATCTTGCAAAAATTAGGTCATTCAGGTCACTGGGCTTTTCTGAACCTTGAATCCCCACAGGACTGCATTCAAGGTTAAAAAGAAGAGATTGAAACACTTTGAAAGTGTTTCATCAGGCAGTATAAGCCTGGATGCTCAATGTTTTCATCTCTCAAAAATTAATAAACTCTAAGATACAACTATTGGTCTCTACACATCTGGAGCAAAAGAGAAAGAAGGAAACCAAAGACGCAAAGAAGAAACTAGTCTACAGGACTAACAGTCTGCACAAACCACGGCCTCACCTACCTTGAGACCAGAACAACTAGATGGTGCCCGGCTACCACTACCAACCGTTCCAACCGGGTATACAACAGATGGTCCTGGACAGAATGGGGAAAAAATGTAGAACAAAACTCAAATTTCCAAAAAGCCCAGACTTACTGGGCCAGTAGATACTAGAGGAACCCCTGAGACTACAACCCTGGGAAAGCCTATAAACTTGGAATTCAAATCACTCCTAGATGTCACCTATCAGTCAAAAGACAGAGTGGCTCATAAAATAAATAATATCACCCATGAGTACTGTGCTCCTCTAAACAATCATCTAAATAAGACCTAATGGTCAACAGTTACCCCAGACCAAAGATGAGAAGGTAAGGGGGGATAAGGAAGCTAGATTAATGGTAGCAGAACAACCAGAATGGAAATAATGAGGTGCTGACACATGTGAAAGGTGTAACCAATGTCACTGAATAATATGCATAAAATTGTCAAATGAGAACATAATTTACTATGTAAATTTTCTCCAAAATCACCATAAAATATTTTTTAAAGTTAATGAACTTTTTTAAAACTATATCTCCTCAGTTAATATTTAAAAGAAAGAATACTTGCTTTACACAATAAATCTATCTCTAAGAACATTTATCCCAGATCAGCATATCTAATGTAAGACACTAAAGGTATTCCCACTAAATCTTGAACAAGACAAGGATGCTTACTATCATTACTACTATTTAATACAATTTCCAGAGTTCTAGCCAAAGCAGTAAGCCAAGAAAATGAAAATGAAGAATAGCCACAATATCATTATTTTCAAATTTTTACTTTCTACCTACAAAATGCCAAAGAATCAACTGAAAAACTACTGAAACAAAGAAATCAAGTTCAGTGAGTTGGTCATTACAAAACAAATACATAAAAATCAATATCGTTATGCCAGCAACAATGACTGGGGAAACATAATGAAAAAACATTCTATTCACAATAGCAGCAAAAAGACAAATACCTAGAAATAAACTTTAGTAAGAAAAATATACCATACCTATAAGAAAATGACTACAAAGCTTTTAAGTAGAACATAAAATAAGAGGAATGACACCATGTTCTTGGCAAAGAAGACTGTCTATTGCAAAGGTGCCAACTGCCCCCAATTTAATTAATAAGTATAATGAGGTTTTAATGTAGTGGTCTTGGTAGGAGTTAAGAAACTTGACAGCTATTGTGAAAGAATATATAGGTAAGCACAGAAGAACGATAAGAGACCAGCAATCGACTGGACGGCACACAACAACAGCAGTGACATATGTTCAAATGTAATCCGTACCTTAATAATGAGGAAAATGGTACCGAAGCAAGAATAGACAGATGATCAATAGAATATAACAGAAATAAGCCTGAAACAGTCAAAGTATAAATTATAAAATATCAAACGTAGCATAACTTCACATTTTCTGGTGAAAATTTAGTCACATTTAACTTTGATTACTTTTAATATTCAACAGGTATAAGATAAGAAGCCTGAATGGCTAATAAGTGGGTGACAAAAAACTGATCAGTTCCATCAGCAATCAAAGAGTACAAATTAAAATAATCAGATACCTTGATCCATTTTCAAATGCAGGAGGAGAAAATATCAGAGCGAGAAAAAGAGATGGATTGATTGATTTTGGCAATGTCTACCAAAAACCTAATAAAAAATAATTCTAGGAATTCATCCAAAGAAAACTCTCAGATTAGTGTACCAAGGATGTCCACTACAGTGTTATTTATAATAACACAAAAGCATGAACTGTAAAGGATTAGATACGTGCTGCAAAAAGCATATATAAAATGATTCCAAAAAGACTGGAAGGAAATAACATCAACATGATAAATAGAATTCTCTCTGTAAAATAACAAGTCATTTTTATTTTACTTACTTATATTCTCAAATTTTCCTACAATACGAACATTCCTTTTTTAATGTCATTTTTAAAGGTTATTTAATCAGTAAAATAAGCCATTGGGTGCATTTAGCCTCTTTCTTGTGCATGGTATACGGGATCATTCAACCCTATAATCCTCAATGCAAGCATGATTTTTATGTCTTTATTTGAAAGACAGGGAGCCATTTGTGGGTAGGTTCTGCAGTGCATCTACCTTTGTGTGTTCAGCCCACAGCCTAGTACCAGCACAGAGAAGGCATTTAATAAATGCTGGATAAATGAACGAACAAAAGAATGAAGAGCGTATGAATTTAACGGTTCTAAATGCCTATCCATTGCTGTCAAGTTGATTCCAACTCATAACGACCCTATAGGACAGAGTAGAACTGCCCATAGGGTTTCCTAGGCTGTAATCTTTATTGAAGCAGACTGCCACATCTTTCTCTGGCGGAGTGGCTCGTTTGAACTGCTGACTTTTCAGTTAACAGTTGAGCACTGCAACAATGGGCTCAAACATAGCAACAATTGTGAAGATGGTGTGGGACCAGGCAATGTTTCATTCTGTTGTACACAGGGTTGCTATTTAGTCGGAACCGACTCAATGGCACCTAACAACAACAACAAAGGCATAAGGCCACGCGTGGAAGTGAAAAACGGTTAGGTGTGAATTTACGTTTTCACCAGAAAACGTGAAGTCATGCTAACCTCATCTAAGAGATTCATTGTAAACCTGAAGCCAGACCATGTTCACCAATATTTTTTTAAAGATATGAACTGTTTTATGGTTTCAGAGAAGAATAGTATAAAATGTGGTGGTGGTGTTGCCTCGTGATTACAAAACCAGGTTACATTCAACACATCTAGCTGAGTTGTACTTAGGGGGTTGGCATTCTTTTAAGATCCCTGAATTGTTCTAATTTTTAAAATCTGGGAATCATCAAATAAAGTGAATTGCAAAAGAAAAACATTCACAAGGTCAACGATTAAAGAAGGGTAGTTACCTGAAGGCTATATAATAAACGGGTTAAATTCTGTATAGCTTGTATGATCTGAAAAATAAGACCGTAAGTGTCAAATTCTCAAAAAAGTATTCTTTATCACAAATAAAGAGGATGGTGGTATAATGTTTAGAGTATACATAGCTCACCTCTGACTGTGAAGAACCTGGAAAGCTTCTATATTCCACCTAAAATACATAAAAACATAAGAAAATGAATAGCCACTCTACTTTTGAAAAGCTGCACTGTAGTGTTCCAAAACGTCTGACTTCAGGTAAATCTCTTCACTCTCTAGACTTGGTTACCTCACCTATTGTGACTCCATTTCCTCCCAGAAATAAAAGCCTATTGAACTAAACAGTGACTTGATACCAAGAAACCTCTTTGTATAAATTCAGTGTTTAAGATGGAACTCTTCTCCCAACCACCAAGGAGTTAATCTTTAAAACAAAACAACATGGATGACAGTAAGGAGACCCTGCAAACTCTAAGTAAGTGACAATATTTACCTTGTGCAAACCACACTGTAAATTGAGCTCTCTGTGCCCAGGCTGTAGTTGTCTCCCAGGCCAGGCTGGCCCCTTGTGTCCTGGAGGCCAGATTTGGAAGCTCGAGAACATCACGTCTGGCCTCTAGCTCCCTGTCTCAGTGTTTGCAATTCATGAAGACCAAATAGCTAGTGACTGGTAGGAGAAACCAGACCCAGAGATTGTCCACAGGGGAGCTGTTAGCAGGCCTGCTCCATAATCTACCACTCCTCTGAGTCCACGGGACCTATGATTCCCTTAGTAGAAGTGCTGTCAGCAGAGAGCACGCGTGAGGCTACAGGAGACAATCTGCTCCTTGAGATCGGGGTCTATGCCTCATTCTTTCTATCTCTCACAACACACATTAAGGGTACAAGCATAAAGTGAGAGTTTTCAGTTTCCAAAATTAAACTGAACGTTTGCTTATTGATTTATTTTTTGTCTTCTCTCATTAGAATGGAAGCCATCTAGTAGCAGGACTTCATCTGTTTGTTCAATGCTATATTCCCAAAGCTAAGAATGATACTTGTCAAGTAATGGACACTCCACAAATGTTTGTTAAATGAATGACTATCAATTGAATTTGGTTATACTTCACTCAATAAATAAATATTGAGCATCCACTATGTACTCCTTATGCTATGGGAGATAAGCAGAATCCCTGTCCTGCTTGCTCTTGTCTGAGGAGATCTAAATTTAAGTGTAAGAAACGGTCACCCTTAGTAATGTTCTCAGGTAACTTTGGACTTATCACTAAATTCAATAAGCTCAGGGCTGATGAGGCTGTGATGAACTAGCCAGATTTCATCTTTCCTCCCCCGCTCCAAAACTCTCCCTCTACACTGCAGTTAGCAAATTCCTGACTAAGCAACACCTCTAATAGGGTGAAGACAAAAGATGGAAAAAGGAGATGAAGTTTAGAGTTGTTAAATCTGTGCCTAGCTCTATCAAAGATTTTATAATTTAGGATACGGACTGTACTGCCAACAATCCTGTTGTTCATGTTTTAGAGGGGTTCAAGAGCTCTCTGCAAAACTGAGGAAAACTCTGGAGCCTCTTTACTCCCCAGATGCCTTATAATCCTGCACAGAACTTTTGCGTATAACTCCAAAGTGTTCCCAGCCCCCTGGGGTCCAGGGTTCAGTGGATCCCAGGATGAGAACCCCATTTTATAGTGAGTTTTGAAGTGTTCTCTGTTCTGGTTCTGTCCTTTCCCATCCACACTCCACCACTTTTGCAATATGAAGATTGTAGGGTATAGAAGTTTTATAAAAATTAAAACATAAAAATTAACTCTTTTAAAAATTAAAACTTGTATAAAAATTAGAAACACAGAAATAAGTTGGATTATGAAAATGCTACATGTGATTGCTTATCTCAAAGAACCACTGGGTTTGAGACAAAGCAGGAAAGCTTAGCATCTTCTTTTCAACGGAGTTGGGCTGCCACCTTGTGGTAAGTGTGCATAGCTGCTGGTGGTGATTTAAACAAAGGGTTTTTGTCATTTGGGTTACAGATTTAATCTCTTTTATCTAATAATTTTTTAAATAAACCCTACCTTATTAACAAAGCTAATGGCAAAACATCATATCCATTATACACATTTTTAAAGTCTGATCTCAAGCACCCAGCCCTGTATCTCAGTTTAGTTTCTCAAAATGCCTTATTAAGAGCAAAGTTTTCCAGAAATGTAAATTTAAAGAGGAACCTGAACACTTAATCTCACTTATCCACCTGTGATTTAGTCATGGAAGGGAAGGACATTATTAGTGGGAGTTACCACCACTTTCCAATAAAAAGAAAACTATTACTGATCAACTCCTTTTTTTCCTTCTTTTTGCTATCAATACAAAAGCAGTTGGAAGTTATGAACTTAAAAGTTAAAAGCGAAGTCTGCACTGAAAAGGACAAAAAGCAGGAATACTTTATTAAGAAATAAGCTGAAAGATTGTTGTCAGAATAAGTAGAATAAAATATTGTCTTTCTATTTTCATTTTAGCCTGTGAAGTTTAAAAAAGAACACTAAGTTTAAAAAAGAACACCACTTTTTCTATAGAGTGATCATTTTTTAAAAATTCTTGGACTTAGTTTCTCAGTCATATGTAATATATATAAAATATATAATATAGAAAATATGTTACATATACAAGAGAAGATCTGTATATGTGCCTAATACCTGCCTATTTCATTGTGCCTAATTGTGTGGTAAATGTGCCCAATTCAATCTTAGATAAACCTAAATTCTTGAGCCCCAGATAATCCAAAGGAGGCAGACTAGTCACCCTCTAAAGCCGTATTTTTATTCCCTCTCTATAACCGATATCTTAATTTCATTTGAAATTAACAGGAAGTTTCAAACATTTAATTTTTAAAGACAGGGTTATAACCTAAATATACAATAATATACAATAAGTGAAACAAGGAGGAAGTGTTTGGAACCACTTTGCCCCCAACAAAAATTGGTCAGGTTAATTAAGTCTATAACAAATAGCTGAAAATGTGGCTGGTGACAGGAAAACAAACAATTTGAAAGGAGAGGAAGGTCAAAGAAGGTAAACAAAGCAAGAATATTCCAAAGTAAAAATTACTTCAGCCATGTTAGCACCCCCAGCTTGTCTAACGGCCCCAGAGCCCAGGACCATCTCTTAGCCAAAGAGTTGATAAATGTCATCAGTGAAAAGCTAAAGAAAGGCTCACAGTGCAGAAAGACAAGAAAAGAAGAAAGCGCAGACACACATATACACATTCAGTTTTTAAATCTTTTTAATAACTTTTCAATTGTTTCTTTGTTTACACCTACATGATTTAGGAGGAGCAAGAACATTTTAAGAAGAAATAAGTTAGAAAGTTTGAATATAGATAGTTAAATTGAGAACAATTCAGGGAAACACTTTCATTCCACTCACTGCTATTGACAGAACAGGACCTGAGGTAATTTTTATTATTATTATTATTATTATTACAGAAAGTAATTGGTACTGTTTACCAACAAATCAGTTAACAATACCTTCTCCCCTGCATCAGAGACTGCCAAGTCGGTTACAACACCCTGGGTCCTGGGATCCACATCCCAACAGCCTCTTCCTCCTGTCCCTTCTGTGACTAGTGCTGGGAGCGCACCATTGAGGCAGAAACAAAAAGGACAACATCAAACATCAGCCAGTAGACCAGGCTCTTTTGTATACAAGTGACATATATTTTGAAATAAGAGATTTCACAAAATAGTACCTACTGAATACAGTTCCTGCCCTCATGGAGCTTACACACTAATATACACCAAACTGACAAATGGCATAAATTATCACCTAATTTTTAATTTTTATTTCTTTCTTGCAGTGAAGCATTCATGGGATGTTCATGGGATAGAAAGGAGCGATTCTACAGCTTACTCTCACTTAATAGGAAAAAGACTCCTGGGGAGGATGAAATTTAAGACAGGTGCTATAGAGCAAAAGCAAGGTCTCTTGGCAGACCCAGGCACGACTCTAAGGAGATAGGTTTGTAAAAAGGCCCCCTGGTGACCAGTACAAGAGCCGCAGACAATAAACAGGGCTTAGAAAGAAGGAGGAGTCCAAAGGCAGGAGTGAGACGTTTTCTAAGAAGGGTGAAAATGGCTAATACTTTGTGATCTCAGTCTTACAAAAACCGAGAACCTCTCTCTGTCTCTGAATAACTTACTGTAAAACCATTTCCAAATGTACTTTTGTCTCACATTTCTTGCTTATGCTCTAAATTAACATCCACAGAAATAAGCCCAGAGATGTTTTTAAGTACCAAATACAGATTTCACTTTATCCATTACATCTCCCTTGGTGGGATTTTGTTCATTTGTTTACCTGTGTGAACTCAGTTAAAACTTATACTATTTTGGAGCCCTAGTGGCAAAGTGGTTAAGAGCTTGGCTGCTAACGAAAAGGTCGGCAGTTTGAATCTACCAGTCGCTCCTTGGAAACCCTATGATGCAGTTCTACTCTGTCCTATAGGGTCACTATGATTTGGAATCCACTTGACGGGAATAGGTTTGGTTGTTTTTTTTTTTTTTGGTTATGTTCACATTGCATTGATTAAAACTAGACTTCTCAAAGCAGTTTCTCACATAGGATTTCACCAGAACCATGTCCAATTAGGACTCTGATAAAATAAATACTCACTCTTTGACACTGTTTATACATTTTGTTTTTAATTCAGGTCATCTTGAATTTTTATTCTGGTAATGGAAGTACTTTTTTTTTTTTGTTTAGAATAAAAATATTTATGTCTTTGGAAAATGAAAGTCCTCTAGAACTCCAAAGGCCCCTTCTAATACAAAAAGACTGTTTTGCTTGTTTAAGCAGAAACTATTTCAAATGATATCATCTAAAAACTAAGTTCATTTTGCACAAATTGGTCAATGCTTATTCACTTACAAGGAAAGGAAATTATATAGGGATTATTTTTTTCCATCATTCAAAAAGATGGTCCCACTATTGAGTACTATTCTTAACTTTTAAGAAGATTCCAGAGGCATTACCAAAGAATTAGCCATTCCCTTTCTCTTCCTCCATCATAGAAATGAGGACAATCAAAAGAGGAAGGAAGCTGATGGTGAGCTCAATTAAGGCAGAAAAATGGAATGTAGGTCAGGTCCCCTGTTCCTGAATTCAGTTTCAAGCTGGTCTAAGGGCTCTCCAGCAGACAGAACTTTACAGAAAGTAGATTATATTAATCCAAGTGATCAGATGTGTTCAGGACTAAAAACAGGGGACCTTGCTTGGTCTCTAATGTCAGACTGACATGCGCCCAACTCAGAAGGAGCCAGTCCTCAAAGACAGTCATAGAACTGACCCACTCAGTTATAGATCTTCATTTAAGAATAGTCATTTTCCCTCAGCAATTTGATAAAGAGAACCAAACTCTTGTAGCACTACGTTCCAACCCAGAACTGAATAGGCCTTTGGGGTACAGGACCCTGCCAACCCGACCCTGCACCTCCCCTACGTGAATCTGATATCAGACCACTATAAAAGCCTCTCAAAAGCTCTAGCAGATGCAATGGTGTCCCCTTGGGACTCTCCTAAGTCATAGGAGATGTGCACACAGACAGGGAGACCCTTCATGCCTGCCCCGCAGGGAGGGAAGATATGGTCATGTGCTCAGAGCAGCTGCGGCAGTGGAGAAGGAGCCTCTCCAGCTGTCCCTGGGGCGAGGCTGAGAGCTGCAGATCCCTGTATGTATTTTTAGATAGAACTTCCTCAATGGCATAATGAGGCTCTTCTTTAAAAGGGAAATCACCCAGGGCAGTACAGCTCCCCTGATGAATCTGGGCTCTGTAGAAATGAAAAACATATGTGCCCATTCTGAAAATAGAAACTCAGGATTAGATTAAGCAGAACTTGAGAGGGGAAAAATAAATTATTGGTCCTGGTTTAAAAAAAAATGTATAGAATTAAAAAGCTGTACTACTTGTATATATCTTAATTAACCAAAGAAATTCTAAGACAATGTAATCCTCTAACCTCTAGCTACTAAAGACATTTTACCTTGTGCATATAAGAGCTTGTGGAAGTAAGGTTTTTACTACCCATACATGATGGAAAATATACTCTTTATGCTCTTATCTCAAAAAACTTTGTCGTATTGAATATTTAGATCACAACAATGCACATAACAGTATAATTAGGTTCTGAGAAATAACTAGACCAATTCTCTACATCCTATTTTTCTGTATTTAAAATATATTGAAACTGTGTTTTAATAAATGAATTCCAACCTGAACTATGATGATGTAGGTCAAGAATCTTCTAGCACTTCTGCCTTTAACCACACACCAAACCTCATACGTGTGTGTGTGCTGTGTGTGTGTGTGTGTGTGTATGTGTGTGTGTGTGTCTCTAATTTTACGAGTTAGTCTTCTCAGTTGGTATAAATGAGATTAAAAGTTTTTTTTCTCTAATGGACTGCAGGGACCCTTTTTGAAAAATCAAAAAGTAAAAAGAAGTTCTTTCAAAACTGTATTCAATAAATCGTATCAAAAACGAGCAAGGGTAGGGTTTGGGAAAACTACAAAGCTTGCCTGGGAAACAGAACAATATAACCCACCAACTTTAAGTCCTTGTCCTCAGAATACCACAGTCATCATTATATGTAAAGCAGGCTGGAATATTTATTCTCAGGTTTTTTCCTAATTTAAAAAAATACACGAAGTCCCCTCCAAATAGGGACAGAGGTATTGACTCCATTTTACGTTACTATTATATGTTTCATGGGTCATTTTCAGACTCATTAAAAAGGTCTGAATTTTCACTTACAAGCAGTAGAGAGTCCTGGTCCATCACTAGAACATCCTGATCCATCACTAGAACGTTCTAGTCCATCACCAGAACTGAGCATATCTGTCAGGCCAGATTCTGCACAACTTTCCTCTGATGATTGACTTACATCACCCATTTGTGAGGCCTTCACTGCAACTTGTAGGCTCTCAGCTAAGAAGAATAACAAAAACAAAAATAAATATGTATATATAATAAACAGCATAGACAGACAGACAGACAGATTAATCTAGACTACCTGTTACCTGTTGCCGTTGAGTTGGTTCCAACTCATAGTGACCCTAGAGGACAGAGTAGAACTGCCCCCACAGGGTTTCCAAGGAACAGCTGGTGGATTTGAACTGCCAACATTTTGGTTAGTAGCCAAACGCTTAACCACTGCACCACCGGGGCCCCCTAATTTACAGCAGGAATTAGCAAACTGTATTTGGCCAGTGCCTCTTTTTACACGGCCCAAGAGCTAAGGATGGTTTTCACATTTTTAAAGGATTGTTTAAAAGCAAAAACATACACAAAGAAGTATTTGCAACAGAGGCTGTATGTGGCCTGCAAAGACTAAAATATTTATTATCTAGCTCCTTACAGAAAAAAGTTCACTGACCTGTAATCTGGACCAGTACTTTTAGCATTTTTTATGATACAGAATTAATTCAATGGTGAAGTACAAATTCATTATATTAAAAAAAAATTTTTAATGTAATTTCAGTAAATCAGTACACTGAAAAAAACCTCCCTGTAATTCAATTAATTTAAATAGGATACCAGGCATTAAGATTTTAAAACCTGTTACTCAGAAATATTATCTGTTCTTCAAAAAAGTATTTCCCCAAAATTTGCCTAAAAAATACAGACTCCCAATCTTCGTGCCAGACCTACAAGATCAGACTCCCCGGGGTGGGGTGGGGGTGGGGGGGAACAGGGGATTTGCACTTCAGGCTACTCTGAGGATCTGGCAAGACTTGTAAACACCACCCAGGAACAAAACCAAACCCACTGCTGTCAAGTTGATTCCGACTCATAGCGACTCTATAGGACAGAGTAGAACTGCCCCATAGTGTTTCCAAGGAGTGGCTGGGGGATTCAAACTGCCGACCCTTTGGTTAGCAGCCGAGCTCTTAACCACTGCACCACCAGGGAACCAGCATGTAGAACAGTATGATTCTGAGGACTCTACAAATATTTCTAATGCTAAGAATCAAGGACAAGAGATATACATTTTGCAAGGAGTAAATTAGATTACTAAATAGTCAAAGCATTTTAAAAAAATAAACTGGTAACAAATAAATATTAAAATACTATGTCCGATGATTTAGTTCAATAAACACTCACTGAGTATCTACTCTGTTCTAGGGGCTATTGGGCATTTGATAGTCATTATGGTGAGTTTGCAGATTGGAGGAGGAAAGAAACATATACAAGTAACTATACCACAAGCACTAATGATACACTAAACATTAACTAAACTACAATACGCTAACTATAGTACATGGTCAGTTCTATCATTGAGCTATCAGGACATTATAAAGTGCTACAGTCACATGGAGGAGCAGGACAATTATATTAGCTAGTAGGATTAGGGAAAAAAATCTTTAAGGGTATGAAGGCTGAGCGGGGCCTTGAAGAATGAACAGAATTCAATAAGCAGAGATAGAAGAGGAGAAGGGAGGGAAGAAAAGCAGTCCAGTGGAGGGACTAGAATAAGCAAAGACTTAGAGTGACAATTCAGGGTGCATTACAAAACAGGCTTTTTTTCACAGAAACTAACTCCTTCACACTGATACGAATCCCTGCTAAAATCTAGGATTGGTATGAGTCAGAATCAACTCAATGGCAATGGGTTTGGTTCTTTGGTTTTGCTGTCTGGGCATTGATCAATGACTCAGGAGTAGCTTATCCAACCTGTGGCTCATCCAGTATCTCCATTGTTCTGAGTTCTCTTTTGAGCAGCTGGGTACACTGTTGCTCCTGGCACCTCCACCAGGTGGTGGGCCAGAGATATTAAAGCAGATGGATTTGCCTCACTGCATAAATGAAAGCCTAGGGGTGGGGGTGGAGGGTTAGGAGAGGACAAGGAAGTTCAAACCACTGGCCTAAATGGAGAGTGGGTGAACTATTCGATAAAGACTTTATCAAGGTTAACGACCACTCACTATCTCTTATCACTGGTTCGGTCCATTTGAAAGTCCTTTTGGCTTTATTTTTTTCTAAAATATATTCTTGAACATACCCATTTCTCTCTACTTCCATTGCCCATAGTCCTGGCCTAGACCAAGACACTAACATCTCTCATCTCAACTTCTGTTTTAACTGTTCCCTAACAGGTCTCCACATAAGCTAGTCTTCTTCCAATCATTTCTCCATTCAGCAACCAGTTCTTGTTAAGACATAAATGAGATCATGCCACACCCATGGATTAAAAGCTTCCAGTGACTTTCCATCACATTTGGAATAAACTCCATTTTTTTTTACCACAGCCTACAATGATGTGTTCCCATAAAGATTACAGCCTAGGAAACCCTATGGGGAAGTTCTACCCTCTAACACACAGGGTCATCATAAGTTGGAATCAACTTGACAACAATGGGAAGGTGGCTGAGAGCTCAAACTCCTTCCAGAAGGGGGGTAAACATCAAAATTTGGTGTCTGTTTTAAGCATTCTCAATTTTTTGCTGAAATCTGATGGACTTCTTTAAACCACAGAGCTAGCCTCATGACAAAGGAGTCTTGGTGGTACAATAGTTAAGTGCTCAGCTGCTAACTGAAAAGTCAGCGGGTTTTAACCCACCAGTGGCTCCGTGGGAGAAAAGAGCTGGCGATCTGCTCCCATAAAGATTACAGCCTAGGAAACCCTATGGGGCAGTACTGTTCTGTCCTATAAGGTTGCTTTGAGTCAGAATTGAGTTGATGGCACACAACAATACAAGTTATAGGAGAGTTTGGACTTTGTCTCGTTGTGTTGTATTCTCAGCACCAAGATCACAGCGCATGGCATAGTAGCTGCTCAACATTTGCTAAATTTGCCAAACCAAATCCTTTTTGGGGCAACTTACCTTCCTTCAGTGCTGCTGCCAGTAATGAGGCTGCCTGGGGAGGCTCTCCCGGGTCGGGTTTAATGAGAAGGTGGGGCTCTAGATGAACCTCCTCAAATCCACTCAATTCTCCAAGTTCAGCATAGATATGCAGCTTCTCCTCCAAATATGTGCAAATTTGCTGGTCTTGGTTACTGAGTATTTCTATGAAATAGTATTTACCATAAAGGTTATTATCACTAACATCAGTACAACAACTAATATGAAAATTCAAGTTACAAGATAAAGACATTGCTAATTAGCAAGCAGTATGGTCTAACGGGAGTCCCTGGGCAATGCAAATGGTTAACACACTTGGCAGCTAACCAAAAGTTGGCAGTTTGAGTCCACCCAGAGATGCCTCAGAGGAAAAGCCTGGTAATCTACTTCCAAAAAATCAGCCACTGAAAACCTTATGAAGCACAATTCTACTCAGACACACATGGGGTCACCATAAGTCAGATCAATGTGACGACAACTGGTTATTGTCTAACAGGAAAAGCACTAGTTGTTGAGCGGGATAGACCCAGGGTCAAGTCCTGATTTTCCCACTTAGTGACTGTGGCCTCCATCAGGTGAGTTAACCCCTCTCTGAGCTTCCATGGTCTTTTCTGTAAATAAAGCACTCAATAAATATCCATTCCCTTTCTCATTCTCCTATTCCAGAAAAACTTGCAAAGCTATTCTTTGTTTATCCGGGCTGCTTTCTATTAAGTCTAAACATTAAGCTCAGAAACGCAAATTGAGGTGGCACTGTCCATGCTGAGCGAGTACTCACAAAGGAAAACAATGCAAAGAATCTCCTCGGGCTGCAGCCAGTTTTGGCCAAAACCAAATGCGCTGGTTTGTTTTTGTTTCCAAACAACCAATTTCCTTGACCACCTTTGCATGCATCATTTCCCTCTGATTTCAACATGTCATAGAATTCTTAGCGCTCACAGGGACCTCAACTAGTATCCAGTCCAGGGATTCTCAGCCTTCTGTGCCTCAGAATCACCTGGAGGAGTTTACAGTAACTGCCCCTACACCCCTCCTCCCACAAATTCGGATCCAATTGGTTGAGGATGGGACCCAGGCAGCAATACTTTTAAAGACCTCTCCCAAGTGATTCTAATGTCTAGCCAGAGTTGAGAATCACTGAGTTGATCTAATTCCCTTATTTCACAGATTTAGAAACTGAGGAACAGAATAATTGGGTTCCTTGTCCAGTCTTAGTCATGACATGTCAGTGCCAGGACCTGGAATTAGACCATCAGCCAACAATGTCAATGCGCATCTGTACCACACTGCCCAGAATTGTTGTTTTATACATGTTATACACATACACTTTTATACACTTACAAAGTTTAATTACTAAGGCAGAAGGAAGGAGAGACTTTCCTCTTATTTGAGCACTTTCAGTGCCAATTTTGTTTGTTTTTAGGGGGTAAAGGTAGGTGGGCTTCAGCTGCACGGAACTGAATTAATCGTTTAGTCAAAACTCGCAGTCCACGACACCTGGGCTTTCCCAATGTGATGGTTAATTTTATGTGTCAAGTTGGCTAGGCTGGGGTTCCCAGTGATTTGGCCAAATGCTAGACTAGTTGCTATTCCGTGATGTAATATAATGACCTTCCATAACGTAATTTAATGTAATATAATTAATAAATCAGTTGAAAAGGGAGTTTCCTTAGGGAGTGTTCTGCCTCCAGACTATAAATAGATATTTTGGCAGAACTCACTCTCTCCTTCCACTCTGTACTCTGCCTGTCACCTGACCTATGGATCTTGGGATGCAAGCCTGCAAAAATCTTCAGCCTGCCACCTGAGCTACAGATTTTGCACTTGCCAGCCCACACAATCACGAGTCAATCTGTTGAAGTAAATCAATCTCTCTCTTTCTCTTTCTGTGTGTGTGTGTATGTATGTGTGTGTGTGTGTGTGTATGTATACATATACACACATGTGTATACATATAGAGAGAGGAGAGATATAAAGATATATCTGTGTGTGTGTGTGTGTGTGTGTGTGTGTGTGTGTGCGCATGTGTGTATCTCACTGGTCCTGTCTCTCTAGAGAACCCTGACTAAGACACCCAACATACAAGGAGAATGTCTCAGCCAGGGAGCCACGGTACCTGCACCATACCTTGACACTGCTGAATTTTGGTCATTCTTGCTTCAGCTTTCCGCCTCTCTTCATCAGATTCACTTGTCCTTCCCCCTTCTTCTTCTGGGCAACTTTAAAAGACAACAGTCAAGGAAGACAATTGAAACCAAATCCAAGTATCTTTAGGTTCATTAGAAAGACATGGGAACTTGGCAACAGAAACATCCATAACAAATTCTCCTTTATAAAGGAGGAAAATCTAGCATAAAGAAACTTCATCTTGGACCCAGTCAAAAGACTCGGTTTTCCAGAGTATATAAAGGAACTTCTATAACATAACATGAAACCCTGGTGGCACAGTGGTTAAGAGCTCAGCTGCTAACCAAAAGGTAGGCAGTTCAAATCCACCAGCTGCTCCTTGGAAATCCTATGGGCCAGTTCTACTCCATCCTATAGGGTCGCTATGAGTTGGAGTCGACTCAATGGCAACAGGTTTGGTATAACATAACATAGCTGTCAAAGACAGCAGTATAGGATAACTCAAATACGCCAACAAGCACACAGATACACAAGTACACACTCATACACATACACACACTCACACATACCCCCCACAATACCAAGTCTGGCATTAGGTACAGCCAAAATAAGAATTTTTGCTTTCTGCTACATTTGAGTAGTTCCATTCTTAATGGAGGTAGAGTAGAAGGGTTGGAGGGGATGCGGGTAGAGTACCAAATTGTGTGGGGTGCGGTGAGGTGGATCAACTTTTATATAACATCACTCAAGATCCAACTAATCAAGTTACCATTAAAAATAATCACTTCCCATCTCCCACCCCCATTTATAAAAATGCTCCTTGCACAAGTAATCAGTAAATGCGCTTAGAACACGTAGATCCACCAATCTAAAAACGTTTATTGAATGACTTCTAGGTGCTCAGCACACAGAAACATAAGACATGGTCCCTGCCCTCAAGGGGCTTTCAATCTATTTGTATATGAACATATACATAAAAAAATATATAAGAGCTACAAAGCAGTATATGACAAGTGCCACACAAATATTTTAGAGAGCAAGTGTTAAAAAACTGCAGGTAAGAAAGAGACCACTCTGACTGAAGAGGTCTTCAGGAAAGGAGGTGAGACATGAGGTGCACCACAGACAGACAGGACTCAAACAGGCAAAGGGGAGGTGAGGGCATTACATGCAGGGAGGGATGGAAGACAAAGCTGCAGATGAGGGGCTATCGCAGGCAGGTGCAGGGGGCAGTGAGCAGATCATTCTGGATGACACAGAGTTTTCATACAGGGGAGCCATGGTTAGAATATTTTTCCCAACTGAACAAGACCATTCCATAGAAAATGGACATAAGGAAATGTTACCTTTCCACAGCCTGTTGGATTCGTCTCATCCAGTTATTTCGTTCCTCCTTGGAATTGGTATGAATTTCATACATTTCAGGACCAGAAGATGAAGCACTGATGAGAAACATTCCTCTCTCCTCATTAGCAACTTCTCTAGCAATAAGCTTCTGCAGGGAGATAACTGATGGCTTCTGATCCTACATAAAATACAAAAATGTGCAGATGAAACAGCAGCATCTCTAAGGGAAGGGTCTCACAAAAGACAATGGCTAAGAAAAGCAACAGTACTAGACAAATCTTTATTTCACTTCCAACCTTTCCAAAAGAGCTATGGAAGTTGATAAGATCTCCAAGAGAGAGGGCATGGAGAAGAAAAGATGGAAAAAGAGGACTTACGGGAATGTTTGTCCTTAAGAATTGGTGGTATAAAAGGACAACTTTTAAAAAGACAGAGAACAATCAGAGAGGTAGGAAAAATATCAAAATGCAGTGGTAAGGATGGAGGGATTTTTCTAGAAGGGTAGGGGATAAGAAATTGTCCATCAAATATTACGAAGAGATGGAGGACCTAGAAGAGCCTATTGGATTTGCCAGTTAATAGGAACACAGTTTCAATAAGGTGATGGGTACAGAACTCCAAATACAAAGGGGTGGACTATAAAAATGACAGGTAAGAAAGAGGCAAGACCTTCAATTTCACAGGCATAACCAACCTCTCCTGTTATAGTGTAGTTTGTAGCAATATAACTTCTACAGTTCTACCTGTAAATGCCTCTTCTCCTACCAACGGTGAGCCCTTGGTGGGTAGGAGTAGGTCTAATTCATCTTCGTAGCCTAGCACATTGCATTGTGTAGAGGAGGCACTCAAAAAATGTCTGTAGAACTGGAATTTAACATATTTCCTCCAGAGAGGAAGACAAAGCAAGAGGACAGTTTTCATAAATGCAGGTTGGCTTCAAAAATTTTGAATACAAGTCATGATTAAATCATCTTTTCTATCACCGTTTACTGGGTTCCTTCAATGTACTGTTCTAAGCTTGGGGGATTCAAAGATGAACAAAATAATATTGACTTGGACACGTAGTTGTAGCTGAAAGTATGGCCCAAAGAATGCCTGCAGGATGTACAGTTTTTGCGGTTAATTTGAAGAATCTTCTTTGGTTTGTGGCTTCCACCACTGTTTATAGACTCGGTTGCTGTAAGTGGTTTTACTTCTCCCTTGTGGACTGAGCGACGCCTTTATCCAGAACATGCCACCCTATCCCTCACTGCTGACTCCTTAGTGCTGGTCTGTCTGCTTTCCTAGCATTACACAGCTTTACCACATCTGAAGTTGTGTGCCAGGGTGTATCCGTAGGACTTCTTCACCCCAATCTCCTTAGAGTAACTGAAGAAAAAAATATGATTATGGGACAAACCACTGGTATATTTAGTCCTATGTTCTGCCTCTAAAAGAGGAAGCAGAAGAATCTTTTTGGCAGAGCTTCTTCATTGCTGCCTTCTCAGATTAGGGAGATACCTTGAGCATTGTTAATATCCTATTATAGATCTATTCAGGACCTTGGAGTCCCTGAGTGGTGCAAATGGTTAATGAGCTTGGCTGCTACCTAAAAAGTTGGAGGTTTGAGTCCACCCAGGGGTGCTTCAGAAGAAAGGCCATCTACTTCTGAAAAATCAGCCATTGGAAACCCTATGGAGCACAGTTCTACTCTGACACACATGGGGTTGCCATGATTTGGAATCAATTCAATGTTAATTGGTTACCCAAGACTTACCTATCCTCTTTCTTTGTTCTAATTTACATTTTTAGCTTCCTCAGCTTACAAGGTAAAAAGGGCTCTGTATATAAAGAAGCAAAGAGGGTTTGATTTGCTTGAGACAACAGCAACAGTGGAATATTTGAACCAGTTGGTTAATGTTCTGGGGGGAAGGGAGATGGTAGGGTAAGATATTTCAAAAGTGAAGAAAGTGGGTAGAAAGTAGCATTCATTAAATCACCATCAGACCAGGAGGCATCAGAGAACATGTCTGCGATTATTCATATTAAACACACAGAAACAATAGAGATGAACAAGAATTAAAATAAAACCTCCAAGAAATGGAAGTAACACATCTGCTTTGGAGATAGGTGTCAAAAACTGTCAAAGGCCTAATCCATCCTGCAGAGATGTTTTGTTTGTGGCACAGAATTAAAAAGAATTTTTTTTTTACTAAGTTGCCAACATTTAAAACCAGGGGATCACACTTTTTTAAAATGTCTAGATTTCTGGATTCTTGAGAAAAATGGACGATTGGAAATACTGAGTCCACATTCTCATATGCAAATACTGGCTATAGGTGAGTAATCTCTGCCTCTTTGAGATGGGGCTGCACTAGCCAGTTCACTACAGACTGTACCACTCTCTATTGTTTTCCTTGATATCAACCCCATTCCAATTCACTCATTTATGTTGCCACCCAATCCCTGTAGCCATTGGAGTTGAGGACCTCTGATATAAGAAAAAAGATTTAAGAGGAGCTGCTATCATTAGCTCCATTACTGCACCATATCCATTTTGTTACTCCGTGAAGTGGTCAGTTCTACTAGTGAGTAAATCCATAAGTGATTCAAGTGTAATAATGAGATCTTAAGACTGCTTAATATTTTGAACTTTGTGCTTGCACATCTACTTGTTCACTTTGTCTTTTTTATTGTTAGCTCATTTTTAAATTATCTTCCTAGATATTCAGGAGATTCCTCCTAGACTCACTATTTCAGGATTTAATGAACACATCTACTTTCTCCTGTTCATTTTGTAGATTTGAGACCTACTCCCATTTCCAGCTGAGTCCTCTTTAAAAACAAAAACAAAAAACTCTCTTGTACAGATGCTGCTCCATCCCCTTGCTACTTTCAGCTACCTATCTTCTAGTTATTTCCGAATTTGTTATTTCCTCTGTAACATGGAGCAGGCAGGAGAAGCATTTCCTAAAGAAGGCTTTTCCAAAGGGCAAAAGGAGCAGAGTATCCCACCTGTGGGTATTAGCATGAGGATAACATTCTAAAATCCTATGGTGGGAACTAAGAAATCCAGATATCTATATATCTACCTCTAGCTAATGAATCAATTCCCCAGGGTGCTAAATATACTTATGATACATGGGCTGTTGTCAGACAGATGCAACTAAAAAGTATACGATCAGACAGTGGGGTACACTTGACTCTAAGGATAAAATCACATTTTCTTTTTGCCTCCTGACATTGCCAAAGGATTGGCTGGCCTTCATGAATTTCACCTATGTGTTAGGATAACATATTAAGGAAACAGTATCAGCAACATTTTACTGTCATCCATACTCAAATACATTTGACCAAACACAAGAGCTGAGTTGTTACTGCCTTCATTCTAGAACTTTGTGGACTGCATTCATAATGTCCGACTTAATGGTAAACGTGGTCTATGGGTGGCACAAATAACTCAAGAGGCCATATAAGATCGGTGGCGTCAGTAGGGTTGGTGTCACCCAGTACAGTAACTCATGGTGTCACTCCCCCCCACCCCGCTGTGGGCTCCCGTACCAGACCATACAGAATCCTTAGTAATGTTTCTTATACTAATGTTACCCATAAATCGTAATTCTCATATATCACTCCTTCTTTTCCTTTAATAACTACTTCACTCTCTAAACAGTTATTGATATAGGTTCACAAATACTAATTGCCATAATGTTGTAGCTAAAACATCAGAAAATTTGACAAAATCAGCACTATAAAAACACTGGCAGCAAACGTATACAACAGCGCATGTTTATAGCCTGTGAAGATGAAACCATGTGATTCAAAGCATTATTGTAATTGGGTAATAATGACAGCTCTGACCAGAGCACAACAGAAGGCTCAAAAAAGTAAATCAGCATAGAGTTTTAGCCTTGTAGGTATACTGATACATCCACACTGGGCTTACAAAAAATGTTTTTGCTGTTATAACTAACTACAGGGATATTTTTACAGATAGTCATTTTGGTGTCACTGCCTCTGACGGTGTCACCTGGTGCAGTTCACACCCCCCACACCACTTAGTGACGTCACTGTATAAGATAACAGGAATGGATCCATAGTTCAAATCATACTATAAGTTGAGCATCACAGCTTGATCTAAATACATATGTTGTGTTGTCCTAGAAAGCAAGCTACTTGTTTTTACTCTATGTCTAACTCCTGAGCAGTCAGCAGGTCATTTGCCCTGTGATACCACCCAAGAAGCAAGATTTGCTTCTTTTAGGGGTCTTTGATTTTGAAGAAACTTTTGTTTTTATAAGGGTGTGCTACGAATTTGCTTTCTCTTCCAGTATGGCCCTCACCATCACACAGATCAAACCAAATGGTCCCAATCTTCCCACTTCTGTTCTCTGTGTTCTTTCAGAGCATCTCAGGTAACGGCAAAGAGCAGCTCTTGGGCCAATCAGTAGATTTTCATGAAATGTGTAATATAGACAGTTGAAATGGATTAGGGACATGGACATGTTTACGGCCTCTTATTATCCTCTGGTGCCACTCCGTGAAGAAATATTGATCTTTAGTTTCACCCTTCAGTCAAAGATTAGATAGGCCCATAAAACAAAACAAGACTAAATGCATGAACCAGCTCAGGGGCAAGGACGAGCAGGCAGGAGGGGGCAGGAAAGCTGGTAAAGGGGAACCCAAGGTCCAGAAGGGAAGAGTGTTGACATGTCATGGGATTGGCAACAAATGTCACAAAACAGTATGTGTACTAATTGTTTAATAAGAAATTAATTTGCTCTGTAAACCTTCATCTAAAGTACAATTAAAAAAAAAAAGAAATATCTGATCTTTATAGAATTCAGCATCAGTGTGCTGATAAGAGGCAATGTGCCAAGCAGGATGAAGCAGGCTATCGGGCAGGAGAGGCACTGCTCCAGCCTTCTCCTTCCTAGAATCCCATCACCAGGCAGACATGCTCACTGTTTTCTCTGAACAGCACAGCAGAAACTTCATGAAGCTTTGAATTTGCCAAAACCAGTTGGAATTGATGATATTTGCTTTGGTACCTGAATATCCTATCACTCAATAGATGACACACATTAGCATCTTTACGAGTCGCCATTATACGGCCCACATTGGTCTTTGTATCTTGGACTCTTTCCTCTAACAGGCCTGATGCTCCATAATGCTGACAATGAATTAATTGATGACATCTTCTTTCTCTTTAAGTAAGTCATTTTGGACCACCCAGATGCTGTGTAGGAAATGTTATAAAATACTGGTTTTACCACTAGTCTTAATTATGTGCTGGTAGTAAGATTAATCTATTGCACTCTGAAGATAAATGTTACATGAACATCTTAGTAATCAGTAACAATTATAGTAGAAATAATGAAGAATCTTCTTTAAATCTTGGATATCAGGATGGTTTTTCCCTTGTTTGGCAGATGGAACACGATGACAGTTATGAACGGGGTTAGCAACCAATAGAGCCTTGGAAATGCCCTGCTGTGCCCAGCATTTATTTTTTAGTTGCTTGATCTGAGGGAATTCTGAGGAGAGGGGAGGTGGCAATCCTAGAGGAAAGACAAAGATAGCCAGGCTATCAAAGGGGGTTCTGGGTAGTACCTATTTACCAACCATTACAGAAGTATTTCAATATTTTCACAACTAGTTAAAAGCTGAACCCTCTAACTATCAGCCCTGGCTGTGATAAATCAACACTTTTCATTCCGGTTCAAAACCAATTAGATGCTTGTTTCTGAACAGTGTGATCCAGTGTAACAAGGGCACATTCTTGGCAGTGACCATTTTATTTCACTATGACCTTTAGGCATTTTTCAAGGAAATACGTGATTAAAACCAATTAAAATATGCATCATATGGCCATATACTTACAACAGCAGCAAAGATGTATTTCTGGTCTTTTTCTTGTAAAAAGAGCAGCACATCAGTTAGAAGTAGAGCTAGAATATCTTCAAAGAAAAAAATATTGCTAGTATTAATGAAGCAGACCATAATTCAAATTCCTTTATTAAATATGCTGATTTCATGTTTGAAATTTAAATAAATTCAATAAACATTAAAAGACTAAGATTTAGTCTAGTTATAAAATTTTTGCAGAAATGCCTGTATCATGATAGCCAAAAATATAGTCTATAGATATCTTAGAAGACAAACTGTGTTCACACATGCGTGTTCGTGTATGTGACTATAGCTATAGTTCAATCTCCAGCAAAATGTGGTGCTGTAGCTTTGAAAATGGAAGAAAAAATAGCCAATAAAAAAGTAGGCTCTAATAGAATTGCAAGGAGTCCCTGGATGGCGTAAACGGTTAAGTGCTGGACTATTAGCCTAAAGGTTGATGGTTTGAACCCACCCAGACGTGCATCGGAAGACAAGCCTGGTGATCTGCTTCTGGAAGTCACAGCCTTGAAATTCCTGTTTAGCAGTTCTACTCTGTACATATGAGGTTGCCATGAGTTGGAATCAACTTGATGGTAACTAACACCAACAAAAATAGAATGGCAAAAAGACTATACCTTTAAAAAAAAAGTACTTTATTTAAAAAGTTAGAGGGCAGCTTCTGCCTTGAATTATATATGTAAACCTGCTATTTTTGTTTCATCTAGATTGGAGGAAGGTTTGCAATTCTGTACTTCTCTTTCAAATTGTTCACAAGAGCCCATCTTCACTATAGCCACCAAACATTCAAACACTAAGTTAGCAAACTATTGATTCTACTTAAACAGTTAAAGAACAAATAACAAGGAGCAACTGGATACAGACATTATGGATATTTCTTTTTTTATTATATACAGTAAAACCTGCAAAAGCCGGAACCTGTGTAAGGCAGAAAACTGTCAGAGAAGGAAAACTCAAATATTTTCCACTAAAACGAACGATAGAAAAGTGGTAAGACTGCACCCTGTCAAAGGCGGAAAACTTACGAGACCCAGAAAAATAAGGCAGTCCCGCTGAGTTCAGCCTCTTGCAGGTTTCACTGTGTATCAACATCGCAAGTTGCTGATCAACAAACCCCATTTCAATCACTGCAACCACCATCAAAACTTTATAATTCTCCAGTGGGTAATAACCTTTGAGAGGCTGGACTTTAACCATCTCTCATTGTTTACCTAAGGAAGTTACTAACATGAAGTATTAAAAACGAGGAGACTAGACCAGTGATTCTTAACCCTGGCTGCGTAGCATACTCACCTAAGTGCTTTTATAAATACCCATGCTTGCTCTTCATCACAGACCAGCTGAATCAAAATCTCAGGATGGGGCTTGAGCATCAGTAATTCTTTTAAGCACCAGAGGTAATTCTGTAATTTTTTCAAGTACCAGAGGTAATTCTAGGGTGTGGCCCGGGTTGAGACATCATCAGTCCTTAAGAATTCATGTAAATTGTTTTAGACTATGGAGGCCTTGGGTGGTGCAAATGGTTAGCTCACTCGCTTACTAACTGAAAGGCTGGAAGTTCAAGTCCACCCAGAGATGCCTCAGAAGAAAGGCCTGATGATCTACTTCCAAAAAATCAGCTATTGAAAACCCTGTGGAGCACAGTTCTACTCACACATATGGGGTTCACCATGAGTTGAAGCTGACAGCAATGATAACTGGTTGAATTTTTTTTTGGAGGTGGCACGGGGGAGGAGGTTAAACTATAATCAGCTTAATAGAGTAAGTAAATGTCTCTTAGCAGATAGCACTGAGGAAGAGTTTACATATTTGTGCATTACATTATTCACTAACAAAGATGGCCGTCAGACTTCCTTTCACTTCTCCCCTCAATGGCCTAAGAGCCCCAGGCTAACCTGGCACACAACAGACTCTAAGTGGGTAGGTGTACTGCCTCACTTTCAACCTACCACGTTTACCAGAATATTTCTGGGCCAACAATGAACAGAATTTTATGTTCTTCTGATTTCAAACATCACAAACTTATGAATTTATAAAACATATATGAGAGTATTTTCTTGGGGCAAAAAACTCCCACCAAAGATTTGTAGCACTGGCCACATTTGCCTATTGAAGTTCACAACTTAGTCCTACAGGAATCTTTCAACTGACTCAGGCTTTGCGTGTGCCTGCATATCGGAACCATTTTTGTGTGGAAAATTCACTCCTATGTTAAATGAATAACATGTGTGAAAGGAGAAATTAGTTTGTTAAAGCCACAATACCTTTGAAACGACCTGTAGCAGTTTTCCAATAAACCAGGCCATCATATAATAGTGTCCTTTCTTTACTTATCAGTGCCTGCTTCCTAAACACATGGCCATTTTTGAGCTTTGTGTAAGTTTTATTTTCTATCTTATTGAGGACATCAAGCCATTTTTGGTTTTTCTCATATTCGCTGACTTTTAAATCCACCGCAGCAATCATGTCTTTAATTAAGCAAAGTGCTTTGCATAAGTCTTTATGTTCTTCAGTTCTTTCTACATGGAGGAAGTGAAAAAAAAAAAAAAAAAGAAAGAAAAGAAAGTAAGAAAGAATAATTTACAATATGGCCGAATGCTAAAGTAGAAAATCTTTTTCTTTAGTTTTTAAATACACTTAAACCTATCATCCAAAAACCAAAAATCCCCTAAGGAAAATTTTTGATTAAATATAAATTCCATACTATCACTCTCTACCACCTCCCAAAAAGAACCTTTAAATATCTCTGATTATAAAAGATTTACATTATCGAATGTGCCTCAACAGAGAAAATAAAAGGTTCTCTAGAGCCTAGAGCAGCAGAAATAAACACTTGGAAATAGCAGCCCCAAGGAATGAGAGTCATTCCTCACATGTTGTAAACATTTCCAGGTCTTAAATGTCTTAAATACATAAATGTGGGTTTGATCAGAAAATCTCAAGGAGTCGATCCTGACACACATCTTTAACAAGGAAGATCTTTTCTTTCTCACTGCCTGTGAAGGAATACACCTCACTACTTTCCTACTCCTTAAAACACTAAGCCCCTCCCGCAAAATGATTCTTCTTTATAAAGAGTACATTTCATAAATAAGAAAGCTGAGTAGAGAAAATTGAAATGGAGCTAAAGGTGATTTGGCGTAAGGCCAAAAAGAGTCTCAAACTCTTTTAACCACTCAGAGACAAATTACTGTCTTATAATGCCTTGCTATTTAAAGTGTAGTGGCACTGGCTCACTTGGATGTTTATTAGAAATTCATACTTTGTGTCCCACACCAGACTTACCAAATCCAAATCTAGACAAGATCTTCAGAGGAAGGTTATGCCTAACACTGTTTGAGAAACCATGACATAATAGAAAGTCGCAGAGAACCAATGTTCCCAGAAGTCCTGGGATAAAGAGGACTATCACTAAGGTCTGACCAAAATGGGGAAACTGGTGGAATAGAGGTTAAGACCTACAGCTGCTAACCAAAAGGTCAGCAGTTAGAATCTACCAGGTGCTCCTTGGAAACTCCATGGGGCAGTTCTACTCTGTCCTAAAGGGTCGCTATGAGTCAGAGTTAACTCGATGGCAATGGGTTAACCAAAGGGGGCAATGTCTCCTCTGCCACCAAAACGGCACCATAAATCATACTTAGAGCTTCTGACACCCAGTAGGCAATCAAAAAAATAGTTACTGTTTTTATTCTACCAGGAAAATTGGGCATGGGATGTTTCTCGGAGCAGCACTAGCTGTCTTGAAGCAGTCTGGGGTACGATTAATTAGTTTGGGGCCTTTCTAGTCATAATCTTGTGACTCCCACTCAGCTGATTGACTGGGGCTGTGCAAATAGGAAAATTGTGGCCCACCGAGGCGACTGGTCAGTTTTGCCTTAAAAGAGAGTCAATTCCAGAGCAGAAAGGAGGAGCCCACCACCACCAAGGAAGGAGAGACCAGCAGCAGAGACCCAGCAGCAGGAGATGGCATGGTGGGCTTCCTGGACCAAGGAGAGAGAAAGCTGAGTGCCTCTGGGCAGAGGTCGATGGCCAGGGAGAGGCGTGCCTGTGAGCACATCTGGGGAGAGGCTGTCCTGCTGAAAGAACCATATCCTGAGTGTTCTTGAGCCTGAATTGTAACTGTTACTTCCCTAGTAAACACCATAACTGTGAATATGGTCTGTGAGTTCTTTGTGGCCACTGCAATGAACTACAGAACCCAGTAGAGAAGTAGAGATGGCTGCAGGAGGAACAGTTGGTGTCAGAATTGGTAGATGGCAGAGAGAGGAGGCATGTCTGACCTCCACTTCATAGGAATCAGCCTTGGGCTGTTGATCGTGGTTCTCCTTCCCCTTTGTGAAGTTAGAGGAGGTCAGACACTGCCCCCAGGCCATTTTTACACAATCAGACAAGTTTTTAGTCTTTGAGGCGTTGTGTTTAACTTAAGAAAGATAATATTAACATAATACAAATTCTTCTGCAGAACAAAATTTATAAGGGTTCTCTCTTTATACTGTGTATATTCTCTTTTATGTTAAGTTATAGGGTGGCATAAAAATGGGACACAAGGAATAGTTGCTACCATTCCTCCCTCAGTGAGATGAATTGGCACAGTGATTGCAACAATGAGCTCAAGCATAACAATGGTTATGAGGATGGCACAGGACAGGGCAGTGTTTCGTTCCACTGGGTCACTATGAGTTGGAACCCACTTGATGGCACCTAACAACAACAACATTCCTCCCTGCACATAGTTCTAAGTGTGACCGATGAAATGAAAGAATAAATAATGCTTTTCTACTCACCTATATCCAAAAATTTTTTAAAAAAGTATGTAAGAAGTTGAATTTTTTTTAGAATAGGCACTTAAGCTATCAGCTTTTTAATTATCTCTAAGTCAACTAACCAGAATAATGGTAATAAAAACAGCTCCCACATACTGAGCACCTCGTTTACATATACCAGGCACTGCACCTGGCGCTTTGTGAGGCCATTTCATTTCATCTTCACAATTCCACAAGATAAAGATTATTATTCTCATTTTGTAGATGAGAAAAGTAGGCTCATTTAATTAATTTGCCCAATAAGTGGCAGAGCCAAGAATATACGATGGCAACCTAAGTGTACACAATTCCACCCCCAAACCTTTGTTAACATCACACACTACCACCCTAACAGTATTTTTTACTCAAGATCAATAAGCTAGCCTGGCATAGGCAGCTTTACTTATTCATCCATTGCACTAATATATATTTATTTATTGAGAGCCTATTCTGTGTCAGCCACTTCACTGGGCATTGAAGATGCAGCTGTGAAGCAGACAGACACAGGCCTCCTATCTCCCTCAAGGAGCTTACAGTCCAGCCACATGCATTAATGGCTTCTTAAAGAGCCAAATGTTACTCCTTGGAACTTGATGAATTAACAGGATCAAAAACAGCTCCTTCATACATTCTTTCTCAATCTAATAATTCAGTGCTTGGCATCTGATGAAAGGAACAATAGCGTATGTTTCACCAGACTGCTGTGAAGGTAATAGGAAGACAAGGAAGACGAGGTATTAAGAAGGTCAGGATATTGGGAATTATGGAGGAGAAAGACAGGCTCAAAGTGTAAAGAAGGCTACTTGGTTTGGGCTACTTGGAGGAATTCAAACTATTGGTAAGTCACATTATACAAGTTAATTTCTCAAAATTAATCCAAATCCTAAAGCTTTAACAGTTTCCCCATAATGAAAAACTTGTTGAATCAGAGACCACAAGGATTTATAACTTTAGAGGACACTTCGGCTAGTTAAGCACTCAGCTACTAACTGGAAGGCTGGAGGCTCAAGTCCACCCAGAGGCACCTCAGAAGAAAGGCCTGGCAATCTACTGCCAAAAAATTAGTTACTGAAAAATCTATGGAGCACAGTTCTGACACACATGGTGTCGCCATGATCCAGAATCATAGGCAACTGGCTTAACTGGCAGCTATGTTTAAAACTAATGTAAGAGGTAAATGCTCGTTCCAGAAGTCATCACTTACCCTTTGTGTACTGCAGTATCCTTTCCACCAAGACAGGGTATTTTGTGATTCGTTGAGTGACCAGAAGAATACACTCTGGAATTCCTCGGCGTCGAGCCAAAAGGTTACTATTCCGGAGCTTTAAAAAATGTACACACATTTTTATATACAAACTCTACCTGTATTTACATTTTAGGTGTGAATTTAATAATACAAGGAAACCAGTAGGTTATAATTCTATTCAGACTAAACATATCTGTGTTGTCATTAACTTATATACACTGCTGTTAATTTCAACACTCCAACTGTCCCAGATTTCAAGAAGTTTACCTTTCTCTGATGAATCTGTAATTAATCCCAAAAGTAAAACAAGTTCCAATACTTCTAAGCACTAAGATTCATGAGTAGCAAAAGCTTTGAAAAATTATCAAAAATCAAAGTTAGAGTTTGAATATGACTTTTCATTTAAGTATTTGTTTTTCCAACAGATCTTCCTCCATATTTTTTATTATTCATTACAATACTTAAAGTTCCCTCTAAACAAGGCAATCTTTTTCTAAAAATCTCAAAGTACTTCTTAAATTTTCACATTTTAATACTCATGCATGTGAAAAAAGAGGAAAGAGAATCTAGTAACTTTCTTAAAATGGCAGATAAAAATTTAGATTGTAGAAAACTTTACAGAACAAATTTCTTCAAATTGGAAGGAAAAAGGGAGAGGAAACAGACTAAAAGAGATTTAATAACTGCCACATAAAATATGTGACTCTTGGTCAGATTCTGATTTAAACAATGCAATTTTATGAGATGATCAGGGAAATCTGAACACTGGCCAGCTAGCTATTTGATGATATTAAAGAATTATTGTTAATTTATTTGTGATAATGGCATTTTCATTGTAATTTTTTTAAAACAGACTGTACTGTTTAGAGATACATACTGAAATATTTACAGATGAAATTAGATGATTTTTGAATTTGCTTCAAACTAATCTAGTAGGGATGGGATACTGGGATAAGAGGAGCACGAACAAAATAAGAGCAGCCATGAGTTGATGGTTATTGCATTGAAGCTGGGTGATGGGTACATGGGAGTCCATTGTAATATCCTCTATTCTTGTGTATGTTTGAAATTTCCCTTGGTATAAAGCTTTTTGGTTTTTTTAAATGCACCTGCTAATCTGCCCTGTCACGTATTTCTCTGTTTATTCCATGTGATTCCCCCCTCCCACACACACACAAGGGCAAATATAGAAATAGGGACAGAAGTTATTAAGAAATACTTTTCAACTCAACATAAGAAAGAAATTCCTGGCACCTAGAACCATCAAATTAGGGAGTTCCCTGACTCTGAAAGGGTTAAGAGTCTACTTTTCCAAGCTCATGAAGAAATATTTCACATCAGGGGACTGGACAGGATGAAGGCCAAAGTTGCTTGGAACTCTGAAACACTATGATTTTAAAATACTCCAACCATAGCCCAGTTACAAAAGAAAACATAAAAACAGACAAAGCTGTCTTCTCCCCATATATGTCAAATACCGTCTCTCTAAACACTCCATATGTCCCCTATTATTTGGAGAATGGATCCTATCTTTATTTTCACTTTGATTCTTTTGATTTCTAACTTGTCAGGGTATGAAATAGTTTCCCAGGATATTATAAATATGCTCAGAAGCTTGCAGGACATGACTTCACAAATATAAGATAAAAAAGGAAATGACTTGGGAGAAATATTTTACTAACGCAGGAAAAGGTAGTTTCTATTTTTAAGACAAGCTTACCACTTCCTTCTCCTTCTCCTGAAAAAGAGCACCTAGATGTGAAACTTGTTTAAATCCTGAAAGAAACAAGCATTAACTGTTTCCCCATGCTGGCTTACCAATTTATAATAGGGTTTTAAAATACTGACCTTAATAAAATTCTGAAACTTTTTATTCTGCTGGAGTTCTTTAAAGAGATTAACTGCTTCCTTGTGGTGACTACAAAATTCTCCATATATTCTCTTCATTTTATTTGCATTTTCTTCTGAAAACTGAGAATAATAACATTTAATCATTTATAAATTTAGTCACCTCATACCACCAAGAAAGAAGCACCGGGAGCATAGCATGCCCTTTGGACCTGGGGTCCCTGCACTAAGAAGCTCCTAGTCCAGGGAAAGATTGATGATAAGGACCTTCCTCCAGAGCTGACAGAGACAGAAAGCCTTCCCCTGGAGCTGATTCCCTGAATTTAGACTTCTAGCCAACTATACTGTGAGAGAATAAATTTATGTTTGTTGAAGTCATCCACTTGTGGTATTTCTGTTATAGCAGCACTAGATAACTAAGAAACAACCTAACATCAAATAAACGAAAACCAACCAAACCCAGTGGGCAATTCTAGTAATGAAACCAATCCCATTTTTCCATAAGTTTTTAATACTGTAGAGAGTTTGCAAGCTGTTAGGTTTTTGCAGTCAGGGACTTTAAGCCTTTCTTACCTGCTGTACTAGGATATCTCCAATTCGGTTGATCACAAAATTCCTATCATTGTCAATGCAAGATTCCTGCCTTCGCTCCTTCATACAATAAAAGAAGTGTCTGTGGATTTCAAGTAACTCGTCTAAACAGGGGAAGATTTTATCCACAGTGCTGTGGTCAAGCTGCAGCTCCTCTTTCATCCCCTTTCTGAAGATCTCGGACATGATGAAGAGGGTCTGAATGTGATGCATTTCTGTTTGCATGAGCTCTGAAACATGGGAGCAGAAACAGACTTTAAAAAGCAAGTAATTCTATGAACTTAAATTAGTATCCCAATACTACATGTTACACAAATAAAAAGAAGGAATGTTTAGAAACAACATTCTTCCCACTACAGAAGTCAGCATTGATCAAACATCTAATTTAAACTCAAAATATTATGCTATTTTACATCTAGGGTCTTAAAAGCCTGTAAGCAGCCATCTAAGATACTCCACTGGTCTCACCCTTTCGGCAGCAAGGGAGAATGAAGAAAACAAGATATAAGGGAAAGATCAGTCCAAAGGACTAATGGACCACAACTACCACAGCCTCCACCAGACTGAGTCCAGTACAACTAGATGGTGCCTGGCTACCATCACTGACTGCTCTGACTGGGATCACAACAGAGGGTCCCGGACAGAGCTGGAGAAGAATGTAGAGCATAATTCTAACTCACAAAAAAAGAGACCAGATTTACTGGCCTAAAGGAGACTGGAGAAACCCCGAGAGTATGGCCCCCGGACACCCTTTTAGCTCAGTAATGAAGTCACTCCTGAGGTTCACCATTCAGCCAGAGATTAGACAGCCCCATAAAACAAAATGGGACTAATGAGGCACAGCAGTCCAGGGACAAGGACTAGAAGGCAGGAGGGGACAGGAAAGCTGGTGATAGGGAAACCAAGGTTGAAAAGGAACAGTGTTGACATGTCATGGGGGTGTTAACCATTGTCATAAAACAATATGTGTACTGTTTAATGAGAAACTATTTGTTCTGTAAACCTTCATCTAAAGTACAATAAAAAAATATATATATTATGCTATTTCATTTTTTCTAGATATTAAAAGATGTGTAAGTGAAGTCTAACATATAGGAATCTAACGTATCTGCAACTCTCATAACTAGCTATCATCTTTAGACACTTTCAGCAAGGAGCCAGGTTTTATTCCCTCCTGAATGCTCTATAATACCTAACTTTGTTTGCATTAAGTATGAGCACAATTAATTTGATGAATTAAATAAAATTCTTTAATGCGGACAACAGTAGGTCCTTTCTATTTGCAGGCTCTGTCTTCAAAATTCCATTTTCTCCGAGAAAAAAAAAATGCATCATGATCAAAGAACACTATCAATAAAGTGAAAAGACAAATTTCAGAGAAATATGGGAGAAAGTATCTACAAATCATATATCTGATAAGGGTTTTGTATCTAGAATATATAAAGAACTCTTACAATTCAGTAATAAAAACACAAATAACTCAATTAAAAAATGGGCAAAGGATTTGAAAAAATGTCTCCAAAGAAGATATACAAATGGCCAATAAGCACATGAAAAGATGCTCAACATCATTAGCCCTAAAGGATATTCAAATCAAAACAACAACGAGACACCACTTCCCACCCACTAGGATGATTATAATCAGGGACAATAAACAGGTATTGTTGATAATCAGGGACAATAAACAGGTATTGTTGAGCATGTGGAGACAGTGGGACCCTCATACACTGCTGGTGGGAATGTAAAATGGTGCAGCCACTTTGGAAAATAGTCCAGCATTCCTCAAAAGTTTAAACACAGAGTTACTATATGACTCAGAAATTGCAAACACCCCAAAATATCCACCAACTGATGAATGGATAAACAAGATGTGGTATATCCACACAATGGAATATTATCTAGCCATAAAAAAGAAGGAAGTCCTGGCACAAGTACAACATGGATGAACCTTGAAAACATTATGCTAAGTGAAAAAAGCCAGTCACAGAAGACCACATATTATACATTCTGTTTACGTGAAATGTCCAGAATAGACTAATCCATAGAGACAGAAAGCAGATTAGTGGCTGCCAGGGTCTGGTGGGAGGGGGATGTGGTGAGTCACTGCTAATGGGTACAGGGTTTCTTTTTGGAGTGATGAAAATTTTCTGGAATTAGCTAGTGGTGATGGTTGTACAACTTTGTGAATATACTCAAACCACTTAATTGTACACATTGAAGGCGTGAATTTTATGGTATGTGAATGATATAGTAATTTAAAAACAGCATCATGACAGAGAACAATAACTCAAAATTTGTGGCAGTACCAGAAGTACAAGTTCTACATTAAGTAACATTCCCAAAGCTCGCTGTATTTTGAGAAAGAATCTGGAATACCATGGAGCATATATAGGTCTAAATGTAACTTTGTTTATTATTTTATCATAAATAAAAAATCTCTTTAACTGGGGACTCACTAACTTTAAATTATTATTATTATATAACATGTTTTAAGGCCTACTCTGTGCTAAGTACTTTACCCAATTACTTATTTCATTTAATCCTTTTGTCTATTTACTTATTTTGACTCTATACATTAGGAGTTCTTTTCCTCAATTTTAAAAGGGGGACACTGAGGAAGAGAGGGTGAAGGATTTACCCTCAAACAGCTGCCTTTCTGACTCCAAAGCCCAAACTAGGGACTCTATCCACTACATGATAATTCACCCCAAATGGGTTAGATTATTCTTAACAATCTATGAAATAGAGAGGTAAATGAAGAAAAAAATGACAGTATAAAATAAACGGCATGAGAACTATCAAAGGGACAGCATCTTCCTTACCAAAGTGACTTCCACCTATCCAACACTGGACAGAGTTCCAGGCATGCTCACTGTCATCCCACCTGACCTGCATAACCACTACCTGCTGCATGTGAGAAGGTGTCTTCATCACCCGTGGATGTTGTTGGTCCACACTTATATACACAAGATTAGTAAAAACTGAGCACTAACCTCATCTTTCAAGTAGGATATCTTCTTGGCACCAATTTTTAGCATTTACTTTGCTTTAGTAAATACACTCAAAAAAAATTTTTAAGGTACATTACTTCCTGACTAGACTATAGTTTAGACTTCCCCTAATGTAGATTGCCTTCTACCCTCTATTCCAAACAGCACAAAATAGTAATGTCTCACCAGAGCTGAATTGTATACTCAGGACTGCAGCACACAGCCGTGCACTGCTCTAACCCAGGTGCTGCCGTCCCACTGCAGTCTACATGTATGGCAGCACATACACGTATGTGCAGTACAAACTGTGCAATAGCCCCCTTTACCCAACAGTAAAACAAGTGGAAGCTCACTGTGATTTTTATATAGAAGAGGCAAAAAATTACAGGCCAAGGCTAAGTAAACTTGAAAAGAGTATGAGAAAAAAATTTCTAAGTATTTTTTTTATACCTGGAACATCCAACGCCTTATTTAACACTCACAAGATTTTAAACCTAAGCCATATTATCCCCATTTTACAGATGGATACTGAGGTCCGAGTGAGTTAAATAATTTGTCTGATATCAGGTAATCAGAAAACGGTAGAAATAGGGCTTGAACCCAAGCCTCTGTGGTTTCTAATTCCATGCTTTTTCCCCTATACCACACTGTTTCGATCCCAAGACCATATTTGAAATGCTTACCAAAAATGACATCCTGTCTTTTGATGACATCTTTCTCCTGCCTACTACAAAACAAGGGATCCACTACGAGACTCCAAGATTCTGCTTCAAATTCCTGGGCGTCGCTGCTGAGGTCACTCCACAGAGAAGAGTCCACAACATCTAATACGTGTTTAGGAAGGAAAGAAAGGCCAGAAGCGTCATGACACACATAACACAAACAGCACCTCACAAGTACTATGTTTATGGATTTATCCCAGTAAATAAACCTGCTATGAACATAGAAACAACTAAGCCAAAATATCATTAATGAGGACTTGAAACATCTGAAATCAGACTGTTGAACTGATCCAAATCAAGACAGCTTTTCAGGAAAGAAAAAAAGAACCAGATATTAAAATAATGATTATGTATATAGAAAAAAAAAAAGATGTGAAGACTCTTCTGTTTGTTTGCTTTGGCTTGCTCTATTTTAGTTTTATTTTTTGTAACCTTGGAATTGACAATGTTCTTATAGACTTTTGAACCCACTGATTTCTTTTGCCCCAGGTTATCTTGCGCTATTTATTCAAATCTGAATTTTGTACTGGTTCACTCGATTCTTTTTTTACTTGGCTTGCTGCTTTTAATATAAAGTGAAACCAAATGCAAGAACTTAGGGTCACATGTGAGGAGATTTTTCTGACAGAATTAGACGACACACACACACACACACGCACAACTTAAAGGAAAATAAAATCCTATTTGCCCAAAGGGCAATTATTAAAGAGATTCCAACTCCAAAGCAGTAAAGACGAGATGACAATGATTTAAAGGGCGTAAATTTAAAATAAAAATAAAGAAACAAATTCCTGGGGCAGAGTCCACTCGTCTCCCTTTTTACTGCTCTCCTTTTGTTTGGTTGTTGTTCACTTTTCGATACAGCTTGGATACAAGAACTGACTCCCCAGATTAAGTCTTATCTTACAAAATATACTTTAAAAATGTTTTTATTCCCCTCAGAAGTAGAAGGCAAGAGATGGGGATAATCATCTCAGAGATCTAGGCAAGTCCAGTCTTAACCAACTGAAGTATATGTATTTTAATGTATGATCCTATTTCAATTTATCAACAGCTGTAAAACATGTAAAAAAAAAAAAAAAAGAAGCACACTATGTGTTTCATTCTCTTCATTATGCTTATGACATATCTTTTTGAAATATGCCCATTTAAAATATGCATCATATTTCCTTGGCTACTATCTGCTAGTCTCCTCTGGGGTTAAATTTTGATTCTTTTTATAAGTAGAAACTATACCAAAGAGACATCATAAAACAGAATTGTTTTAAAAAGAACAAAAAAAGAGGCACCCATCTTATACCCTTGAGAGACTATTCCTTTTGGCAAATGCTCACAAAAAACAAGAAAATGCAAAAGTGTCTTCTCCTCACCTTCCATTATAAACGACTCCGTGGAGGGAGAAGAGCCCATGGACTGTATCAGCTCATCGGAATGAGACCTGTTTCTCCAGTTGCTACTGTCACTCTCAGACTCCAAGGATGTCCCTGACCTCCTGAAGCTGGGAGGGAAGGAGGAGAAAAGTTAGCCCCAGCAGCAACTCTGAGCCATGAAGAGGTAAAAATATACTGAGCCTTACCTTTCCAAGGTGGTGCCTGGAACACTTCGGGACAATGGGTGGACCTGCCCTGCAGTTTCTTTCCTTCCAGTTGGCAATCCAATGGGCATGGAGGAAGAAGGGTGCAAGGAGAGGCCAGGCTGTTGAACGTCTCTAAATGAAGAATCTGGAAATCAGAATAGATGCTTCATGTGGTTTTTGTAAAGGGGTAATAATTCCAAGTACCGGCAGTCACTCAAAAGCCAGAAAGCTAAACACTTAAATGGCTCACTTTGAATGCGTCGCATGCTCAGCCTTGAAACCAGTCTCCCTGCCATATAGCCTGACACCTGCTTCGAATGTCCCTTTTATTTCACACCCTCCCGATACCCAGGCTGCAGGCCAGCATCAGTGCATCCACTTGGAGACTGTGGCAGTGTGGGATTATACAAACAAACGAGAAAATGGAATGGGGAAACACTGGGGCAGTTTTCCTATAAACCACTGCTTGTACTCCTGAAAGCCAGCTTTAAATAGATGCAGGGTGTTATTAGTATTATTACTAGAACGCATATGGTGTGTGTAAACAAGCATACACACACTCAGAGTGTCAATGGAATAGAATGATGCTGGGAGACTATTCTTTATGGCATAAGAATTTCAGGCAAATGAAACCTGTAAGAAAAACCTGGCTGTTTTCTCTTATACACTGAAAACTAAATAGTACTGCAATACTTCTGGTCAGTTCTAAAACATTATGGGCATAGATGCATTTATACTTTATATGTACTATAAATGACTCTCAGAAAAGATTTCAATCTTCTAATATTATAGCTGTAGCATACACATTCTCAAGCAGAAGGGAAGGAAATACTTATCTAGGCTTTGATTTGATTTGATTTGATTCTCATGACTCCTACTCCTATGCTTTTTATTTTCACATTTAGCCTTTTAAAACAGAGAAGTACTTTACAACTGATGTCACAGGGACTGTGTCAAGGCAGGGAGTAAGTTCAATCACAGCTGATGCATATTTTAAATGGACTACAACATGCTAACTTATGTACCATCACATCTAATGGCATGTTACCTTGAATCTGCATACATAATAGTCCCCTGATTGAAATGGTTTTAAAAGTATTGCTCGCACTTTGTTACAGCATTGAGAGGAAAAGTTACTATGCACTTAAAATGGCTACCACAAGCCAAGCAAACGTAACTTGAGGCAGAAGAAATTGCAAAATCTCTCACAAGAGATCAAAGAATTTTCAAACTTAGGAGATATTGGTGTGACTGGTTCATGCATGCAATATGAAGAACTGTCAAATGCCACTGATGATTTTCAGAAGAAATTATATCAAATCCAGCAGTATATAACTCAGAAGAAAAAAAAAAACGCCAAATTTAACAGTATACAAACTAAATTCCAGTATGCCTTGGAATTTCACTGTCATCCTAAAGGTGTTAACACCATCCCAGCCTCAAGCACAGTTTATAAACAGCATCAGGTCACAAAGGAATGGACAATGCAGACGGATAAGAATCGATAGACTCCAAACTTGAAGATTTTTTTTCCTGAAACTTTGCGATTCTGAAGAAGCATGTGGTGTGTATTTGTTTAGATAAGTATATGCTACTTCTAAGAAAATATAAAATTATGTACATTTAGTGTAGTGCTTCTCTTTTCCCCAAAAGATTGTTATTAAATGAATAGTGCATCTTGGCTTTAGACAGTGTCTTAGAATTGAGGCAGTATGGTAGTATCACCTCCTGAGGTCCCTCCCTCATACAAAAGATCTATATGGTTCATACAACGCAAAAACTCTTAGGTTGGCATAGAAATTTATATCATTCTTGACATCTTCGCATAACTAAAAATTGTGCTCAGCACATGTTATGAAATAAGTAATAACTGAGCAAATGAGAAAACAAAAGGAGGAGGTAGTTTACATTGGAAAAAATTTGCGGTGTGTATTAAATTGAAAAAAAAATCTTGTCATTTTCCACATCACTTACTTGCAAGGATGGTCTGTGGTTTGTTCTTGCTATATTTCTCTTGGAATTTCTGGCAAAGAAGATCAGAAACACATAAAGTGAGATCAAAGCACCACTATCCTACGAGAATGTCCACACAGTTGCTCAGAACAGGATTCTTATTTATAATTTTCGTTAGTTTATTTCTTTCCAACCAAGAGGAATTCAGAGCAAAAGACCTTAAATGCAACAAGGAAAAAATGTTATGACAATGAAATGTTATCATAAGTTATAACAAAGGTTTGTTTGGCTCATGAACACTTGTGACTTTATTCAAAATCTCAGGGGAACCAGAAATGGCCAGCCCCTGTGGCCAGACCCAGGCTGCAAGAGAAGTTCCTATCAACACTGCCTTTCTCCTACTTGTTTCTCCTTCCTCCTGACTGCAAGAGACAACTACTTTAAGCACTGAAATGCTGAATTCTAGAACAGCCCTAAAATCTGCTGACCTGATGCAATGTATGTTTCAATTAAATCAGAGGTTTTGTGACTCCACGTTTCCTTTGGAAGTATCATAATGCTTACCCATAGGCATTTTTAACATGATTTCTAGAGTGGGGATAAAGGACAGAATCAAAGATACCTCCATCTACTCAAGCCCACTTCCACAGAACATTTCTTTAGGCCAGTGGTCCTCAAAGCATGTTCCTGGGACCAGCAGCATCAGCCACACCTGGGAACTTGTTAGAAATGCAAATTATCAGGGCCCACCCCAGACCTACTGAATCAGAAACTCTGGGAATGGGGCCCAGCAATCTGTTTTAAGAGGTCCTCCAGATGATTCTGATGGTTGCTGATTTTTGAGAACTACTGCTCTATGCTTCATTCACATCTGCTCATGGTTTGCAGTGGTAAGCCTAGCACATCCTGACAGAAAGCCTAACCTACCTAAACCTTAAAGCACAAACGGCCAGACTTGAGCTTTTCTCTATTTCTAAAAGTGCATAGTTCATAAATATACTTTGACCATGTGCTATTTTATCATTACAATTATCACTTTAGAAATAAACCTAGACAGTAATAAAAGAGATTTTACTCAAACAGATAACATAATGCAACTACCCTCTATATAAACATATAATATCCACATATGACTGTGAGATTACCTTGGTACATGGAGGTGAAGCATCTTTACAGCCCTTATGTACGTGTGCATTACAGTCTGAAATAAAGGGAAAATACATAAAAGTGTCCAAGTCTTACTTAAGTTAATCTGAAATGAGTAAGACTGCATCATACTCTTACTGGTTATTATAAAAATAACACATAAGCATTAAAAAATATTTAGGAAATGTAACAAGGAAAGAAAAATATTTAAATCACAGGTAGCCCCATCACTCAAACACAAACACACTGTTAACATCTTAATTTCTGTGGAGATGTTGTTCCCTTTCTGTACAAGGTCTTATTAATCATGAAACCTGGAATTATACATGATATACACTTCTGTGATACTTCTGTGTTCACCTGAGAACTCATTTACTATTATATGGATATATTGTAAGGGTTTTCTGGTGTCCAGCTGGTAGCAACCCCCTACTCCCACACACATCTTCCTATGAAGATGTAAAGAAAGAAAACAAACTCATAACAATGCTGAACAAAATTTATTGCGAGGATTTGACAGGAATTCCTAACAAACTAGAAGTCTGAGGCAGCGAAATTCAAACACAAAAGTTTGCAGCTTACTTGTGTTTTATTTCATAAAACAATGTGGCATCATCTCACTGAAAGAAAGCAAAAGAACCCTTTCCCTGCCCCTTTCTGGCCACTGGCTCAGAGACCCAGGCCGTCCTCACAGAAAACTGTACCTGTGTGGGTACTACTTTCTGCCAGGCTGCAATCTTCCTTGCCTTCTGTCTCTTTCCACTCCCATACCACCTATCACTACTCCCTC